AACGGACAGATAAATAAGATGGTTAAGAAATTAAAACATGCGATTAGACGATAAAATAATTATGGTACGACATCTTAAGAAAACATGTTTTAAATTGGTTAATGTTTTATCGGTTTTAAATAATGGCTTGTCTGCTGAATGGTTTGAGAAATGATTCTCATACACTCTATGATGCGCCTATGCGGATCCAACCGCGGGAGTACTTGATTGCATATATAACTTTGTCCATGTGTTGCTCCTAAATCCCAACAGATCACACATTCGTGTTATAAGTTTTTTTTCGTCGATCAAATGTATATACAACTTCTCATTCATGATCCATATGAGAAATTGTAGAAGATGTTACATATATGCCTTCAATCTCAAAATCAAGTTCTGCAAATAAAATAATTTTGTTAAGTAATATAGGGAACGAGGAGGATATGCATCTTGTCAAAGGCAAAATGGTAGAACCTAATTTTAAAAGGTAAATTAAATGTTGGGGTTGATTTTAAGATTAATCATATCTTAAGACGACCTTAGAGTCTCGTCGAATCTCTCGTGACACCTACCTTGTCCCTTATCATTGTTTTCGTGATCATGTACATATGTGCATGTGTGTCAAACAATAATTTTATATAATTGTAAAAAAAATATATAAAAAACTATATATCGCCAACTGTAGAAACAATGACACGAGAACATGGACAAAATGTTTAATCTTTAAAACATCCGCTAGAAACCGTACTTAGACAAGTTTACAAAAATAAATATATGTCCTAATTGGAAAGAACTCAACAATTAATATACTTTTTATTCGATATCTAAAAATACTTAATTAGGTTTGTTTTTTATGTTCCGACTTTATCTATAAACTTAAGAAGCACGTACGCATGGTTATCTCAACGAGTAAACTCGTATTGCCTACAACCTGATATTAAGCATCTCTCCTTTTTTTTAATATATGATCAACTCACCCTAAGAAGTGTGTTTGCCGTAGATTTAACATAAATATGATCACGAAAGCATCTTCTTTTGTTTTTCTCTAACTAGCTCCACGTTTTAGATTAGGAAAATTGGCTGTAACCACAAGACCAGTTAAAATTAATAGAATGACTATACGAAAAAAGGTATTATAATATTCTTTATATTTTATATAATATATATTAAATTACCTTTTTCTTCTTTCTTTTCTCCTCTTCTCTTCCCCTTCTCCTCTTTTACCTTCACGTTTTCTCATCTCTTCTTTTTCTCTTCCCTCCCTGTCTTCTCCTCTCCCATCCTCTCCTTTCCCTCCCCTACCCTCCCCTCTCATTTCCATTTGATGATTCATACTATACAAATGATGTGAAATAATTAATTTTGTAAACAGTATAGTACAATACAAAATTAATATAGTATAATATGTTAATATAAAACTGATATATAATTATAACCTCAAGTACGATACTATATAAGCATTTTCGTATAAAAACATATATTATAGTATAGTCCAGAAAAAATCATATATTATATTATAGTCTATAAGAAAATATGGGTAACATATGTTTTTAACGTTAAGAAGAAGGAGTTTTTCGTAATTTTTATGTGGGTCATGGTTAGTTTACATATTATTTGAATAGTATGGTTATATTATTCGATTGTTTTGTAAATATGGTTATATAGCAAAAAAGCCCTTTAGATTATCTAAATCTTTGTAAATGTAACAAACATTTTTTTTTTTGTTCCACAGAGTTAAACGTACTTTCAGTATTTCATATGCCATAAAATATAAATTGGTGTAAGTAAAGTACGACTGTAGATTTAAATTGTGTATGGTTCTGTTGTATGCATGTGCAAAACAGTCTATTTGGGATTATCTGGTTTCTCTTTTTTCCTTATTGTGATTCATCTTAAATAAACTTGCCAACATGTGAGCAACAAACTAGCTAGTGACAATGCAGAATGTGGTTAATTTCACATCAACTATTAAATAAATGTTAAAACTAACATCTTTAAGAAAACAAGAAAATAAAGATTAACTTTGTGTCGTCGTTATATTAAGAAGTGTTTTAGAAGCACACTGGGCTACTAGCCATGAGTTTGATTGTTTTAAACACTGCATTTGTATTTTGTAAGCAAATAAAATAGCATGGTTAGCTGTAAGCGTAAACCGGTAACTACTCAATTAGAAACGCTAATACCATCATCAGTTGAAAAAAAAAAGATACAAACAAATACTTAGGTTATTATTTTAGTCCTTGAGAAAGAAAAAATAACGTGTATTATATTATTGTCACTGATTATTATGTACAATCCTCGTTATAGTACTCTGATTTTTTCTTATATAATCAATGGTCTTCTAATTTGAACCATCCGATTTTTACGAAGAGTGAAATAAAAGTGATAGACATGTGCATAATGATGACTAACTAATGACCTTTTCTCCAATTATTGAACCTGCTTAAAGCTTCAAAGTTCAAACACTCGAACACTCGAGGGATTAGTTGCTTAATAATCATTGTCGGTAGCTTGAAGTTATTCTAAATATGATAATCTGCTACCTACTTTATAATGTTATCAATTAAACCCATCATTTTTAATAGTCAGACGGAAAATCCAATGTTAAAACTTATTTACAATTGTCAATAGAAATGCCGTTTTGTTATTTTTCATAAGAATTAAAACATGTTAAATTTGCACCATTTCCACGTAAACACAAGTTAACTTATGAAATTCTGGTCTAACGATCATTGGATATATAAATCACAATTTCAAATTATTATTTGTTAATAAATAAAAAACCCTGTAAAACACACAAGATTTTTGCGTTATGTCATTCCGCCTATTTCTTAACCAGAATTAAGAGAAACTAATTAACTCCTACCTTTGAATTAAGCTGAACCGGGGAAATCAGTAATTCGGTAAATACACGAATAATGTGGCAGAGACGAATCTGCAGTGCTCGTGCAGCATGCGATCAATGTTAGCCGTTGAATTTAATATTATCAACGGTGCAGATAACATCTAAAAAAGTTGTAGACAAATACCTCAAAAGAAGAGGAATAGCAAAAAGCTGCCTTTGGAAATCTTGAATGTAGTTGAACGGTTAGTGGTCGTTAGACTGATTGTCTGAAAACTTAATTAAACGCATTTAATTTAGTAATTAGTTACTTATTATACTAAAATTTTAAAATTAGAGGTCAAATAACAAATTAGAAAACTAAAGACAATCAATCATATGCAACTTTGGTCCTGGTATCGCAGCTTCACAGTCAAAGCATAGTCGGACCAACAGTAAAAAAACACAAATGTCAGGAAGAAGATGGGTTGTATATTATTTATTTTTTGTATCATTTTTTGGAAGGAAAAAAGAAAACAAATTTGAGAATTGAAGACTCTGCAAATACTGCAGAAAGACATAAGAGCAAACGAATTTTCACAGCTTTTGAGGAAGCCAAATTGTTTTACCACTTTTATTCATGAGTCAAGATGAGGAGATTTTTTTTTTCCATTGTAAAAATGTTTTGACCACATTGGAACTAGAGATTATGGTTCTTAATACCACAGTAGAAGTTAGATAACGAGTACTATACTAATAAACATGATTTCTCCAAAAATCACTCTGTTAATGACTAGGCTCCAGACAGCAAATCATAGTAGATATCGTTAATCGTGACGCAGCATTAGAAAAGATACGATTAATATGATTTTTAATTGCCTTGCATGCTTTTATGCAAATAGGTGTCAAATATTCTCGAATTTGCTGGTATGTTTTTTTTTGTCGAATTTACTACTAGTAATTATTTTGATAAGATGATATTATCATTTGTTTTTCTTGTCATAATATTTTATGTAGGATATATAATCGAGAATCGATGTACAAATGCTAATTTAACGACACGAAATTAGTATGTAAAATATTGAAACTATAAGATAATTTATGGGTGTGGCTTGTCATTGATGAATGCTTAGTGTAAAATACTAAGTGGGATTTAAAAAAAAAATAATGTTATTTTTGTGTCTGAATAAAAATACTACATTTGTGTTTTGTTTTTGTTAAGTGAAAAACTATGTGTATTTTTTGACCGATGTTTAACGCAAAAAACCTTGAATACATTTTGTTTTCACCTAATACAAAAGTATAATTATTGAATATGTGTTGTTAAGAGTGGGAAAAAATTGAAAAGAAAAGTAAAGATGGCCCATAAAGATAGTAAAGGAAGAAAGGTGCAGAAGAAGAGTCACACGCTTCCAAAGTTCTAACCATCAAAACGGCCTGCAACCTTCCCATGTGCTTTCTCTCTCCAAACTTATAAGTGAGGCTCGTGATTTTTTAAATTTTTTATAAAAAGTTTGCAGCTTCTAGATTATTATATACTATATATTTTAAATTTTTTTTGAACACCTACATAGAAATCATCACACGAAAGAAAAGAAAAGAATTCGACCTTTACTTTGTTTGCTTTGTTGGAGAATCGAACTTTTGTAAGCATTGGTAAAACACTAAAAAAAAAAGTTGGAATGTCAAGTTTTGAATTTTAAAATTTAGTTGAAGAATAAAAAAAAAATGAACTATGAATGGTGCAATGTAAAATTGGTGTTTAAAATTTTTAAACTCAAAATGAAAACTTCAAAATTTAATGCACTTAGTGGAACGGACGTGTAGAACAGGTGAACAAAGAAAACAAATGTAGCAAAACACTAAATGATTATTTAATAGAAGATACAATAACTATCAAGTTTTTATAATACTCAAAAATGTATAAAAAAATTTGTATGACAAACGTCCGCAAAACCTTGCAAATACACCAAAATTTTCTTCACATTCTTTTCAGGCACCATTCAAATTTCAAATTACACGTATATGGTGAGTATTATTATTCAAACGGCTTCTCAAAATATTAAAAATGAAAGTATAGGCTTTTTTTTCCATGTTTATATAATTCAAAAATAATATATAATAAAAAGTAAAAAAGAAAAATTCCTAGGAAGGTAGTTAAAAAGCAGTAAATATGGTTAAAACAGTAAATGAAGGGGTCAAACATTCTATAAATTCCCCCTCCAACCATCAACCTTCTTCTTCACTCCCATCAAAGCAATTTGCAACTATCTCTCTCCTTCACATTCCATTTTCTCACTCTCCAAAAAGCTCAGCACTTTCTCAAAGAGAATGTTCATGTAAACACTTCTCTCTCACTCCTCTGTCAAAATTCCAACCCATTCTAACTGTTTTTTGTTCTTGCTTGCTAGTTATCTTCAAAGCTCTAATGTTGTTTTAAATTTGTTCAACTGCAGGGGAAAGATGGGTCTTTTGGGAATTTTTCTGTTGGGTTTTGCTGCAATGGTGTGCTCTGTTCATGGCTATGACGCTGGGTGGGTCAATGCTCATGCCACTTTCTATGGTGGAAGTGATGCCTCAGGAACAATGGGTAAGTGCCAACTAAAACATCGTTTCTTCAATATGTTCCATGAAATCCCTAATTAAAACCCAAAATTTGGAAATATCTCATTTTTGTTGTTGTTGCCGTCTCTAGGTGGGGCTTGTGGGTACGGGAATCTTTACAGTCAGGGTTACGGAACCAACACGGCGGCGTTAAGCACCGCTCTGTTCAACAACGGGCTTAGCTGCGGCGCGTGTTTCGAGATCCGGTGCCAGAGCGACGGCGCGTGGTGTTTACCTGGTGCAATCGTAGTGACAGCCACCAATTTCTGTCCTCCGAACAACGCGTTGCCTAATAACGCCGGTGGTTGGTGTAACCCTCCGCTTCACCATTTTGATCTCTCTCAGCCTATTTTCCAACGCATTGCTCATTACAAAGCTGGTGTTGTCCCCGTCTCCTACAGAAGGTAAACTCACATTTTTAAATGTTGAAAAGCTTCTATCTTTATGCGGAATTTTCTTAACTTTGTGTTTATAATTCTGGTTGCTCTGTTTCTAACAGAAATAAACTTTTTTTACTGTTAAAAAGTTTCAATCTTTATGCAATTTCGTAAATGGGTTATCATTTTGATGTTTATTTTTCTTGGTTTGTAGGGTTCCGTGTAAGAGAAGGGGAGGGATAAGATTCACAATCAATGGCCACTCTTACTTCAACCTTGTTTTGGTCACCAACGTCGGCGGCGCCGGAGATGTTCACTCGGTGGCGGTTAAAGGTTCCAGAACAAGGTGGCAACAAATGTCAAGGAACTGGGGACAAAACTGGCAAAGCAACAGCCTCTTAAACGGTCAAGCATTGTCCTTTAAAGTTACTGCTAGTGATGGTCGAATCGTCGTCTCCAACAACATTGCTCCGGCTAGCTGGTCGTTCGGACAGACCTTCACCGGTCGTCAATTCCGTTGAACTTGTCTTAATTCCCATATTAAATTCGGTTTTATATAATTTAGGTTTTTGTGTAGTGTTGAGGAACGAGGAGAGAGAGAGAGAGAGAGAGAGTGAGTGAGTGGAAGGGTTTTAGGCTTTTTAGGGTTTTAATTGGAGAGCCTTAAAACTTCTTCTTTGACTCTGAGGGTAAAATGGAGAAAAGGGCTTATTTTATAGGGGCTCTTTTAGTCATTTTAAGGATTAGGGTTTTAGTGAGAGCAGTAGAGTGATGGTGGTGTGTGCATCTTTTAGCAAAGGGACCTCTATGTTTCACCAATGGGTTCTTTTGTTTTTATCACTTTTTATTTGTGTTTTTATTTTACCTTTTTTTAGCTTCTGTCTTTGGTTTAAGAAAACAGAAGTGGGGTAGTGGCAGAGGAGGAATCTCACCACCCGCCATGTGTTTTTTTCTATTTGGGTCGTTATGTTATGAAATTGTAATGTAAGGGCTGATTATGATCAGCTTTTTTAATATAAGTATGTGTTTTGTTGCTGAGTATGAACTTTATGCGTTTCGTGTGAATTTAAGTTTTTATGACTATGCTTTTGAAGAGTTATCAATACTTTAATTTGAAACGATATGAAGTACGGTAAAAATGGAGATGTAAGAGAGAGAATAAATTTTATTCGAAAAGGGAAATATTGAAATCAATGCCCATGTGATATGAACACATTCGAATAAATGGTGGTAACTAAATGGATCAATTATAACAAGTCTTGCAAGCATCCCAATTAGAAATAAACAAATGGAGTAGTTACCTACTCGTGTCTATACTTTTATGATCAATTATTCAATTTTCTTGGTTATTAAAATCATCAAAAACTATCGAGTTTTTATAATAGTATATACTGTCTTGTAAAAATTGTCATAATGATGTCATCTTTAAAAAATATCTTCAACTGAATATGAGTGTAATTAGTCTTGCTTTGTAGGAAATGGCTTTTGAGTAGTATATATTTTAGGCGAAATCATGAATCATGAATGCAATTATTCTTTGAACAAAAAAAAAAAGATGCAATTATTATTGCGTTTGCAGGAAGTGGCTCTAGTATATTCGATTTGGAAATTTGTAGTATGTTTTTTCTTAATAAAATTGGTTACTCATATTTCACATCAGCTTAAATTTAAATTACATTTGTGTCTTTTTTTTCTCAAACCATTTGCCCATGCCATAAAATGGTTAAAGAACAGGAGCATTCGGTTGATATTTTATAGTTTTAATTTGTTTCTTAAATGTAAATTGCGTGGACAAAAGAATTAGTGTAGTTAAAATCGTAGACAGTACAAATGTATGTAGTTTTTATCAGTTTTGTGGAACATAGAAAATTAGAATGGATTTTGAATCTCTGATAAACGAAGTTTCCTTTTTAACTATTTGTAATTTGGACAAAAACAGAGAATCTGATAAATAAAAAAACGTTCATTAAAAACGTAAACACGTGGAAAAGTTCACTAAAAAATTTCATGTACTATGATAAATGTGTCTTGTTATGGATGAAATGACGGTGGAGGATGTTGCAAAGCTGTATTCCATATTCGATTTAACATTTGAATACAAAGAGACATTTCATAACTTCTGCGTTGGCTCCTTTATCTATCTGTCCGTTTCATTTCCAAGCTTTTCTAAGCTTTTTCTCTGTGTTGCATTTACTTCATGACAATAGTATTGCATAGAAGAGAGACAAGAGAATCTGCACGTCTCCATTTGTCAGAATCTTCACCGGAGACTTTCTTTGTTTTCTCTCAATGTTAGCATTTATTAGTTTTGGCCAATCTTATTCTCATCATATGCCCATCACTACTCACCAGAACTAGTTTTTTTTTTTTTTTTTTTTTAACTAAATCGTGTGTTGAGGGATAATAATAATACTACTAATCCACTCTAATTGACTACCATCATATTATCATTAGTAAATTACATTTTGATTTTGCTTTTTTGTAACGGGGAATTTAGACAACAGCAAAGGAAGCGACGCCAAAAAGAAAATAAGTATTTTAATTTGTGTACATTATTTATTTGAAGTAAATTACTTGACAAGAACAAAACATATTGTCAGAAAATTAAATAACTTCCGAGTCGGAGTTTTTGAGCTCTCTGTTTAAAGTTTTGAAACAGGTAAACTTGATCGACACGTCGCTGTCTCGAGTCCCGTGTACAACAGAAACGCGTTTACGTTTTGTCTTGTACCCATCAACGGCGTTGTGATGTCCACGTCATTAATACGTGTCGATCATTAGAGAACATGTCAGAACAGAAACCAATCCTCCACCGTCCGATCTCTGCTTCCTGTTTCAGACCGCACACAGAGGTATCAAATGTAACGAAGCTCCCAACGAAGCTCTGAACAAAAAGAAAACTGGCGAGAGTATCAATGTCGAAAATGAGCAGGGCCCATATAGAACCATAATTACCATAAGTCATAAATAGATGGGCCTGGGTCAGGGCCCATAGTGATACAAAATACGCTGAAGTCATACAAAGAGGAGATTATTGAGGGTTTTGGTGTCTCTGTTGTGGATTTTGCAGCATGTTAGGCTGCAGAGTCTGCTGATTGGTCTGCATATTTCCATAGACTCCTTGTTGTTGTTGTTGTTGTTGCTGCTGCTACAAAATACGCTGAAGTCATACAAAGAGGAGATTATTGAGGGTTTTGGTGTCTCTGTTGTGGATTTTGCAGCATGTTAGGCTGCAGAGTCTGCTGATTGGTCTGCATATTTCCATAGACTCCTTGTTGTTGTTGTTGTTGTTGCTGCTGCTGCTGCTGCTGCTGTTGCTGTTGCGGCTGCTGCGATTGCGTTTGCTGCGTTTGCATCATTCCACTGCTGTTAAACACTGCAAGAAATGACAAGTGAATAAAGTTGGATAATCGGTTTTATTGCAAAAAAGCATGTTTTAGAGACTTTTTTTGTACTTACTCTGGTCACCCAACATTTGAGAAGCATGGCTTCTTTGAGCATTGGTACCTGAAACTCCAAATTGCTGAGAACAACAAAATCAAGAGAGATATTAGATTAAGACTAATGTTTATCCTTCCTAAATATGGATTTTTTTTTGTTCTATCCAAGAGGAGTTTTGAGCTAACCTGCATTCTAGGAACAAGTGTCTGAGATTGCATTGATGACATGTTTGGTATCTAGTAAAGAATTAAGTATATAATGTCAACACCAATTTCAAATAAGCAAAAAAAGAAATTGATAATTAGAGTTAATTAATAAAGGAGCTTGAAAGAGAAGTGACTGACCATCTGGCTACTTGGGGAGCCTTGTGCAGAAGTAAACAATGCGCTATTGGCTCCACCTGAAAACTGGTTCAAGTGACGGTTCATCGCTGGATTAAGCTGTCCTTGAGACATGCTATGCTGAATATTATGTCCGCCTGAGAGCTGTCTAGCTTGGAACTGTTGGTGTCCCATTGGCTGAGAAAATGGCATTTGATGTTGCCCATGTAACTATGAAAATAAATTACAACTTAAATAAGCATAAAAGACTAGCAAGACAAAATCTTGTTTCATTTGATTATACTGTTTGAAACTCTCAAACTGTTACAACCACTTTATATAAGCTTCTGCCAAAATCTAAGTATATTTCTCTTGATTACTTGGCTAAACTTGCACATATAAGTCTGGTCATCTTCAAAGATGGCAATAACTACTTCATAATGATTCAAACAAAATGACAATAGGATTAATACCAATTCTTTCCGCTTTACAGGATGCATCTTTTATTGCCTAAAAATGTTCAAGTTTCATTCTGGCCACGGTTGAGAAAAGAGGAGCTAGAACAGGAGTTTACCGTCTGAAACTTCTGCTGAGTTTGCCCATGCAAATCGTGAAGTGATGACATCTGACCCTAAACATAGTTGATACACAAAAAAGTTTAAGATTCGATGTAACGAATTAGAGCAAGGCAAGTGAAGAACCGATTGCTACCAAGCCTACCTGGCCCAATCCTTGCATAGAAGACTGCCTGAGCTGTTGTTGTTGTGCAAGCATTTGTTGTTGATGTTGAGGCAACTGCATTAGTTTTGCTCTTTGCTGCTGTTGAAGCTGTTGCTGCTGCTGAGGCGATGGCGCATTAACCATACCCGCAGATTGAGGAGAATTGGAATATGGCAAGGGAGATCTTGTGTTATCAAAGTTAGCACCAGATGGCGATGCAGCTGATCTTCCCATAAATTGTGTTCCAGAAGCCTAAAAATACACAAAGACATGAACCTCCATAGACACTGATTCTAAGAAGAAGTGATAATCATCAAAACCAGAGAGGATAAACGATCTGTGTAAACTAACCTGCAAAAGATTTCCTTGACTGTTGATGTTGTTTGCTGCCACAGGAAATGCATTCTTGCCTAACGTAACGAAACGAAATTTCAGAACCATGAATGCCATTCGAAATGGATAAAAAAATAAAGAACAAGCATGGAGTTTACTTCTACAAGACGGATCAATGAAAGATTGCTACCTGCATCGTTGACGATTAGCACATCTGCTAGATGAGGTGGAAGTGCAGTAGTTATCTGTCTCTGGTCTGGAGGCAGTCTTGTTCCTTGAAACACAATTTGCAACAACACGACACGGAATTCAGCAAAAACCAAAATCTGCAGATTCTAACCAAATCAAGTGATTCGATAAAAAATGTTAAAAGAAAAATAAAAAAGTCTCTAAACCTGCGCCGTCATTAACAGCTGCTCGTAGCATGTTCTCCTGCTCCTGAATCTTTGCAGCTTGAACTTTGTCCATAGTTGGAAGCATAGATGGGCCTTGACGAGCGCCAAATCCGTAGGCTTTACGAGTATCAGCTAATACTTTCTCCGCGTTTTCACAAGCCGCTGCAATCATGTCCATCCTCGCCTAAGAAAAAAAGACCACACAAGACTGATCTTTCAGCAAAAATCCTAAATGGGGAGAGAAGAGAAACCACTAAAGAAAATGCACACACTCACCTTTAGCCTCTCGATTTGCATCGGTATAGGCAAACTCTGAACGCCTTGAAGCAGCTGCTCTCTCTTGCAGTTGTCGTCAGTTTCCATCTCCGGAAGTAACTTGGAAGACAACATAACCGGCAAAACTGCAGATCAGTAAAAAACCTCAGGATTCAAATAATTCAAAGCAAAGCCATATATCCATTAAAATCCAAAATAAACGAACATACTTCCAGCATTCTCGGCATTGACGTTCCTGGGAAGCACAACAAACGCCTGGGAAACCTGCTTCACCTCTTCCATAATGTTGAAGAGCTCGAGATTCACCATTGAATATTGCCCTAGAATATCCTGCCTGTGAAGAATCCTGTTTAGAAAAACTCACAAAGAAAAAACCAGTATGTGGATTCGAGAGGATGGATGTACCATTTAGGAGTGGTGTTGGTTCGACCATAAGCGTCAAAATCTTCAAGGATCCTAGAAACGGCCTTGCACAAGCTAATAGCTCGTATCTTTATTGATTCCAGACACAGAAGCTTCACCACTCCCGGATTCAGCTTCTCAACCACCGGAGGCGGCTGGACCTGTGGCTGCGCCGTCGTCTCCATTGATTCTCACAGAGCTCCTGAAACGATTTTCTTATCACCCTAATTGCAAAATTACATAATTAGAGTTTCAACGTCGCAGCTCTCAAATCATAAGAACTAGGTTCCGGTGAAATTTTCGATTTCGAAGCCTACAACTGTAAATTCCCAGCAAATCTAGCTACAGCCTCGTTACATTGACACAAACCTTTTTGAGAAGGGTACTAAAACACTGGAAAGAGAAGAAAGATCAAAGACACAAAATAAAACTTACGAATTGAAAAGAGAAGCCACAAGAGGAATGCTTAAGGAGCTTGCTTCAAAGGGGAATTTATCGGAGAAGAAGATAAAACAGAGATTCGAGAAATGATGGATTCCTCAGGTGGGAGAAGATTCAGGTGGAAAGGGATGGCTTCTTCTTCGTGATTGTGCCCGACAGGTTCCATTGAATTGAACTGAGCTCCATATTTACCTCTTTCTTCTCATTAAAACTTTGAGATGGGCCATTCTATGTTGTATTCGAAATTTGGGCTTTAACAAACTCTAAGATGGGCCAATAAGATCAATCGATTAAAAGTTTAAAAATTTAAAACTAAGCACCTGTAGCAAACTTACGAACAAAACAAACAATCTCACATCGACAATTCTCTTTGCAATGCGACATTTAACACTAACAGTGAAAAACTACGCACATTGATCTTTTTAATGTTAAAAGTAATATTTTTTTCTATAACATCGTTTGTCAGTTTTTACATTAAATTTGAAAAAATAGATACAGCTATAGTTTTTTTTTGTAGGAAGGGAAGGAGAGATAGTTTCTCTGATTATGGCCGTCATGGCGTTACTTTGACAGCCTCCAAGACACAAACATATCGCCGGAAAAAAAAAAGTATCCTCTTCTTTCTTTTTGTTTCATCAAAATCCCGATTTCTCTCATCCGATCGAGAAATTATGTATAGAAAAAATTTAAATAATAATTAACACAAAACATCTATTTGAAGATATTAAATAAATAATCACGTATTTGTGGCTGCAATCTACCAGAATTCACCACTGGTTTTTTCTTCTCCTTTGGGAACCAATTCAGAAATCTGCAGTTTTTTTTTGTGTGTGTGTTCTTGCTGTTTCTGAAAAAAAATTGGTGACTTCTTCAATGAGATGTTCTATCATCATCATTCATCAAATCTCTCTCTCAGTTCGGTTGTTGCATCTATAGTAAGAAAGAAAAACAAATGTCAAAATCACTACATGGAAAAGAAAAAAAACCCATCTTGAATCTCTAATAAAGTTTGCATTTTGATGCATCTGTAAGAATAAATAACCCAACTTGGATCAGTGAGAAAGTTTTGATTTTGATGATGTTAAAAGAACAGAAGAACGTTTCGTATGTTTACCTGGGAAAACAAGTATTCATCGAACATGGAGACTGAGCAAGGCAAGGAGCTGCTGCTAGAACCAAACCTGTTTTGGTTGTTGTTGTTGTAAACGGAAGATCCAAGTGGTGGTGCTTCGAAGAATCCATTCATATGGTACTCTCTCTGGTTCATCGGAAAGTCATAAACCGGAGGAGGATGAGGAGGAGGCAACGTTTGGTGAAGATGATTCAGATCATTCTGCAGATTTGGGTTGTATGTGATATTGTTGTTCATATTAGTGAACTGCTGCTGCGAGTTTGTCTGCGGTTTCAGATGTCCGTTGCTTGTGTTGGCTAGTTCATCAAGAAAGCTTGTTTCTTGACCCGAAATCGTAATCTCAGGAGATTTCCCTGTTCCAAAGTAGCCTGGATAGCTCCCGAATGATGAACTCGCTGAGCACTCCACTTCTCTTTTGGAGTATATAAATACAGAGTTTTGGTTTAGATATGATTCAGAGTTAAGAAGAAAAAATGCTATTAAGAATCCATGACTAACCTCTGCGGGATTGATATTTGTTCCTCATTGACGATGTTGGTGGTGTTGCTATTAAGTATCCATGACATAGATTGAAGCTGTTGTTCTAAAGGAATCTGAATCCCATTTTCCATCTGAAAATTTGATAAAGTTTAGATTTAAGTTTAAATTGTTTTGAGTGAGAGATCAAAAGAAGAATCATTCGTGCAAATTACCGAGCAGGTTGACCAATCTTTAACAAAGTTTGCGCTTTCGATTTGCATTGCGTGTTGCTGCTGCTGCCCAAAATGTTCCTTATGCGCACGTAACTGATCAAGAGATTGCCTGATGGAAATCTCGAGCTGCCCCAAGTGTTCAACGTTGTTTATCTTTTCTGGTTCTGTCCAATAACTGCAGAACGTCATACAAACAACTATTAAACAAAGTATGTACATCAAGAAAACAAAGAATCATCATCATCATCATCTTCAGAATGGTCTTTGCCTTAATCTTCCATGTATCTCAGAAATCCGAGCTCGCAGAATCTTTGCTTGAGTACTCAAGTCCTGAAAAAAAAAGAAAAGCGGTTTTATAAAGTTCTTGGCTTTGGCAAATCTCACAGACGCGAGAGGAAATGAAAAGACGAGTCTTAAAGTGAATACCTCTGTTGTTGAATTACTGAAACCAGAGAACAAAAACAAGAGAAAAGAGAAAAAAGTTAGAAGTTTATGTAGAGATTATAAAGCTTTATTGCAAATTTTGTTGTTGTTAATAAACAGTTTCCTACTCACCTCGAGGCTATAAATTCTCGTATATTTACATCGTGATCCAACTTTAGAAAAGTTTTCTTCAAGTTCTGAGCTTTCGGAAGACAAACATTTGAATCAGGGACCAAACAAAAAAAGCTTCTCAGAGAATCGGAATCAATTCATAAACTAAAGACTTGTTTTTTATTGTGTTTAACCAACTTACTTCAAGACTCTCGAACTTCCTGTTTTCAAAACGCAACCAATGAGTAAAAAAACAAGAACAAACAAACATATCGAGAAGAATCTAAAAAAAAACACCAAACCTTTTTGTTCTATCCTGCGGTGCTATCTGAGCAAACTTAGCAATCACCTCTTCAATGCTACTGAAATAAATAAATAAAACTCACAGTAAACCAACAAATCATTACATTCAGACAATTACCAAAACAGAGACATGATTATGTTCGAAAAGAAAACACTAACAACAATACCTTCGTCTACCGTAACATAACGAAGCTTTCCCAGTAGGAGAGAACATAAGAAGAACAATATCAATGTCGCAAAGAATTGATAGCTCATTAGCCTTTTTCAAGATCCCATTTTTCCTTTTAGCATATGTAGCTTGGCGTGCACCTGTGTGCTCTAACTTCTTTATCTTCAATTTTACCCTTCCCATCCTGTTAAATCCCCAGCTGATAAAAACCACATTAAAAAATCATTTTTGGTGTGTGTTCTTCTTGAGAAATGTCAGAAACATATTGTCATAATCTCTTAAAGTAGGATCCAGTGATTCATTCATTCTTATCAACACAATAATATCTGATTATCACAAACCAAAAACGAAAAGCTTTTCCAGAATTAGGATTAAAAAAACTGGCAAAATACGAAATCTATAACACAACCAGATCATGATTGTAATTCCAATTAAAGAAAAGTGCGATCTTTTCAAACATTTTGAAAACCCTATTCGTTAATCTGTTGGACGAATAGAAGAAAAAGGAAAGAGAGAAGAAAAAAGGGAAACTTACTCAAAGAAGCAAATTCAAACGCCAAGCGGATACTAACCATGAGGGAGATCTTAAAAAGGACCTCTCGAGAAGAAGGAAAAAAAAAAAAAAACTTCGAAACGAAAAATAAAAACCAGAGGCAGAGAGAGAGACAGAGAAGACGATTGCGGTTTACATGAGGCGCGAAAAAACCGGTCTTATGATAAAGCCGCTTGAGAATAGGGATCCCATTGGAGAAGAAGAAGAGAGAGAGAAAATAAAATTCTCCAAAACGATACCGTTTCAACTTAGTACGAACGTTATGACCTTTTTACCCTTAATCCATCTTTCATCACTTTATCTACTCAGCTTGTAAGTGAAAAAGAGATTGGACCCTTTTTTTTGTCGCCGACGATGATTGCACGGTGCTGGGTTCTTTCGCCGCCGTATCTCTCCGCCGTGAGAGCTAGATGTTTCGCCGGGGAAACTTCCGATACTGGGATTCTCTTCCGAGAGAAGCTTATTTACCTTCAGGACCTTAACGTAGATCCTCACAAGGCTCTCCGAGTAAACCCATCCCTCCGTGCTGCTCCCATCTCCTCCGTCGTCTCCGTCGAGTCTCTCCTCTCTTCGACCGGACTCTCAAGACCTGCCGTTGGTCGAATCCTCGATATGTTCCCCGATTTGCTGACCTCTGATCCAGAATCTGAAATCTTACCAGTCCTCCGCTTCTTATCCGACGAGATCTCGATCTCCGAGCAAGATATCCCGAAATCGATATCTCGCTGTCCTCGACTGCTCATTTCCTCCGTAGATTTTCAGCTTCGTCCCGCGATGGCGTTCCTCAAAACCCTAGGATTCGTCGGACGCGACGCGATTACGTCGCGAAACACGGTCTTGCTCGTGTCCAGCGTCGAGCGAACCCTAATCCCCAAAATCGAGTTCATCGAAGAAGGATTAGGGTTTACTAGAGAAGAGGTGGCGAATATGGTCGTGAGATCTCCGGCACTGTTGACGTACAGCGTGGAGAACAATTTAGCTCCGAAAGTCGACTTCTTTCTGGAGGAGATGCGCGGAGACGTTGTGGAGCTGAAACGTTTTCCTCAGTACTTTTCTTTCAGCTTAGAGAGGAAGATAAAGCCGAGGCATAGGTTGCTCAAGGAACATGGGATATCGATGCCATTGTCAGAGATGTTGAAGGTTAGTGATGGACAGTTTAATAACTGGCTTCTAGAGCTACGTCTCAGGTCTCTTGAAAGAAGAATTATAAAATAACAAGTGTAGGCTTCTTTCTTATGTTCATTTGTTTCTTCACTGAGAATTTTTGAGAGATGAATTGCTAAAGTTCTGCACTTGAGACATGCCAAGACACGTTTACATGAACTTGTATATAGTTTTTGGTTTCAGAGATGGATTTTGTTAGATCATCGAAGTATGTATTTATGAACTCAAGTTATGAGGAAAGCTTTCTTTGTTATGTGAACCGAGTTTATGAAGAAAAGTTGCTTGGAACATGAGGCTGGTACAGACTTTTGTTTCAAAGATTAGGTTGGGGAATTTGATTTGCAACCAAGTTTGTGACAAATTAATATAATTAGATAGAGATAGAATAGATTTGAGATTAAACTCTCCAAGAACCGTATTACACCATAAATTATACTATATTTGATGAGACCGATCGTCTTCGTGAACAGAAGATCGATTCGGTTCAATAGAATGTGAAATTAGGAAATTAAAAAGACGGGAAGTCGATCTCGGCTCCACATTTTCCATGAGGGAAAACCGGACATTCGACTAAACCGGAACCAGTCCGGTCAACACAGAGGTAGACTTGGTACAACTGGCTATTGCCAGACCCACCTCTGTTACACTCAATCCAAGGAGTGAAACCCGTTGACTCTTTGATCGCGTCCCTTATGCTCTCTAAACTGTACGAATTTCCATCCGGATTAATCCCTAATATACACAACAAATAAAAATAAACCAATAAATTAGACCATCCGGGATGAACCAAACCAGGAAATAAATAGGGAGTTTTAGTTGAAAGCGTACCGGCTTTTGTTAGAGCTCCAAGGAGATTGCTTTTCTGCTTAAGGGTAAGAGTGGTTTGGAAATACTCATGTTGGTCGATAACCGATTCTGAGCAAGTACCATGTTTCTCCCATTCGTGCTCCCAAAAGGCATCGCCTGAGCCGCTCGGGCAAGCCAGTGTAGGCCAGCTCTTCTGCATCGACTTGATCAAATCCGATATCTGTACCGAACCAAATCAAACCAACCGGTTAAATTTCAATGAAATCTAAATTCGAACCGAATTACTCAAAAACAAGTTATACCGTTGATTTATCGAATGGTTTAGACTGGTCGCAGTTAGATGGGTAAGTGCCATCTTTGTAGTTAGGCCAGAGACCATGAATCCCAAAATCAGCAGCTGGTTTGCCAGTGGTTGGATAACAACAACTCTTCTGTGTGTCACAGTATGATCCTGGCCACTTTATAAATGATAACACAGAAATTGTCAAAAAAAAAATGAATGGAGACATTCTTAGATGATGATTAGTAAAGGATTTTTAATTACTTGTTGGACGAAGTAGAAGAAATCGAAATCTTCAGAGGATGAAGAAGCAGCGAAGATCGAAGGCAAGACTAGGAGAAGACTGATCAAACACAATGACGCTTGAATGATCTTCATCGTTTATCTTTAGATGATTGTAATTAGTTATGAGATTGAGATTGTTGTTTGTGAGAGTTTATAAAGGGAATCAGAATCAGTAGAATGTGAACAGAGATTTCTCTTTCCTAGTTTAATGACAGATACATCAAAAGAATCTGGGAGCTATATGGTATATACCTTCATGTGGAATGTATGTATGTATATTTACGAGATCTTTTTCTTTAATTTTTGTTTCTTCTTGGACTCTGAATCAGGACGCGAGATTACGTGTGGACATGGTGTGTGGTTTTTAATTTGAAGTCGTAACGTTCACACTTGTTAGTTGGATAAAAGGTTCGGTTCGTATCCTCGTAACAGCCCCAGTGATTAATTACATTGATTACTTATCTAATCTAATTATTAGTAATAATTTATGATGGCTTTTTGTAAAAATAAATAAAAGATAAATTGCATTAAATGATAACTAAGAAATTTGCAAAGAAGAGTTTTATCACAGCAAGTAAAGTTAGTTGAAACACGTTTCGATAAACTACCTTTGGAACTTTTATTTTATTACGGCTTTGTTGTACAAAAGACTATTTTATTAGTATTTAACGTATTATATACATGTGTGATCTGTCGTAGTTATGAAATAACTATTTTTAAAGGTACAACTACAATACAATCAATAAACAAATTACACGATAATTTGATGTCATAATCTATCTCATACTACTATTTTGTCTTTTATTAATTGCAACTTAAGTTATTGCTGTTTACCTATCTAGTCAAATACTTATAACCATCAATTGATATAGCGCTTTTTCCCAAGTAAAAATAAAATACATGAATTTGAAAAAGAAAGTGAAAGAAAACAATTTATCTTCAAATATGGAATATTATTGGTCGCTGGCAGTTGCCGACATTTGTCTTGCTCTCATATAACAACAAGTGTTTTAAAAGTATACGATAAGTGAAGTGTTTGATTCCCTCTTATTAATGATGTGATGTGTTTCAATACTAAGTCAACGAATTGTTTATATATTTCCAAAAGAATAAAAAAGAAACCGATCAGCACGTCAGATGGGTTAAAAACTTAAAATTACTGTATGCATATAAAAATAATACTGTAGTATACAAGTTATACATGTACTTTTTTTTTTTTACCTACACGAAATGTAATGTTAATGGTCTGTGGATGACATCACCAAAAATCCCCACAAGAACATTTGCCATCTTCAAAATGGTGAAATCTTTGAACATCTCTAAGAACAACTTTCCTACCAAATACAAGAGAGATCAACTTAGCTGCATTGTGGCAATCTCTACAAACCCTAAGATTCTTCACAACCCTAATCGTCGTCCCTGGAGGAGTATTCAACAATCCAAACGCAATCGCTAGCTTTTCGCTGTGATACCTAAGCGTTAACTCCTTATCTTCTTCACCCATATCGGCGTGAACCACGAGAGATGTATCAGGAACATACCCTGCAAGCTTTAGCTCTTTCACCATCTCATCTAATGCCCTGTGAAGCTTTGTGGTTATAGACTTCACACCATCCCCTGAGAAAAACTCATGTACCACATTGTTTAACTCTATCGAGCTGCACCCGGGAACTTTAACCGCCTTTCGATCTTTCAACACCTTTCTTAGAGAATCTACAACTTCCCATTTCTTGTTTCTCGCGTACAGGTTTATCAAGATCACGTAATCACCACCGTGTAAGTCATCTAGCTCAAAGATCCTTTCGCTAACCTTTTCAGCTAGCTCCAAATTGTTGTGGCTGCTACAAGCAGATAAGAGAATCCTCCATAGCATCGGCGTAGGGCTTATCGGGAGCTTATCGATGAATTCAAATGCATCCTCTAAATGTCCAGCTCTACCAAGAAGATCTACCATAGAACCATAATGCTTAATACTCGGAACAATCCCAAACTCGTTAACCATCCGTGAGAAATACTCGCGCCCTTCTTCCACTAGACCTGTGTGGCTGCAAGCGTTTAACAGACCGAGAAACGTGATCTCATCAGGCTGAACATTTTCAGATCTCATTCTCTCAAACATTAACATAGATTTCTCAGCTTGTCCGTGATTCGCATAAGCTACAATCATCGCTGACCAAGCTTGTGTATCCTTATGCCTCATCTTTTCGAACAGAGACACAGCATCATCCAAGCTACCGCATTTCGCAAACATATCGATCAAAGCTGTGTTTACTTTCACGAACTTACAGAAACCGTGTTTCTTCGCATACTCATGTATCCATTTCCCTAAATCTAACGATCCCAGTAGCGAACAAGAAGACAGAACACTCAGAAGGGTTATCTCATTCGGCTTCAAGTTCTTACCTTGCATTTCACGGAACAAGGACAAGGCCTCGTTTGGTCTGTTTCTTCTCGCGTAGCCCGTGATCATAGCGTTGTAAGAAACAACGCACGGCTCAACGATCCGATCAAAGACGCGGCGAGCAGCATCCACATCTTCACACTCGGTGTACAAATTGATAAGCGTAGGACAAACATAGATATTATCATCAAGCCCTAGTTTCATCGAGAGACAATACAGTTGTCTACCTTCTTCTAGCGCCTTTGCTGCTGCGCAAGCTTTGAGAAGAGCCGGGAAAGTGTAGTCATCAGGTAAAAGACCATCTTCTAAAATCTCAACGAAGAGAGAGAACGCCTCAAGTGGAGTTGTGGAGCGAGAATACCCACGAGACATGGAATTAAAAATCACCATATTTGGCTCAGGCATTGCGTCGAACAGATGGCGAGCGTGTGACATTGAAGAGGTTGAAGGAGACTCTGTGCAGAAATTTATCAGCTTCGTGGTGAAGGAAACATCTTTTTGGAGATTGGATTTGATTGCGTAGGATTGAATTTGCATCAGCTCTCTTAGAGAAGTGCATCTGGAAATCAGAAGAATCGGGTTTGATGGATTCGCAGTGTCAGTTTTCGTAGGCTTGACGATAGTTTCTGCGTGAGAGAATGATAATACCAGCGAAGCTGAAGATATCGCCATTGAAGCTCTGAGTTTGAGCTTCTCATTTTTCACCTAGCAGTCTTGGGGATAAAGCCACGATGATAACACGATAAGCCTGTTTCAGGACCCGAATGCAAAATTGAACAAAAACGACCCGACCCGGTGTGTAATTTAATAGTATTTAAGTATAAAAATCGTAAAAGGCGCTACAACGACCAATTTATTTTCTATTTTATTTTTCCTTTTAATTTGTTTTCTTTTCCTTCACATTATACCGAGTACGACATCGGAGACTGAGGGCGGCGGAGAGCTTCATCGGAGCTGTTCTACGGCGGCCCTCTCGACCTCCATTATTCTCGGTTGAATAAAAGCTTCAAAAAAAGAAGAAAATTCGAAAAAACCACAAAAAATTATTTGAATTTGGTTACTTTATTTTTGCACATTTGATTTCTTTCAGATCTCATGATTACGTGTTCGTTATCGTGGCGGTTTCTGAGTTGTTGATGCGACGATCGCATGCCCGTTCTAGGGTGAAGAGTAAACCAGATAAATCAGATATGGATCCGATTAAGTTCCAGATCCGTTCCGGCAACCGAGCACCGTCTTATTCGTCGACGTACACGCTCACGAAATCCAATTCAAAACACGCGAAATCGAACCTCTTGTTAACCGTCGCTTCCATCGCCACCGTGTTTGGGTTTCTCTTTGTTTGCTATTCAATTATAGTCTCCGACGGTAACCGGAGAGGGCCGCTTCGTTACAGCGTCGTGATCGACGGTGGAAGTACGGGGACCCGAATCCACGTGTTTGGGTACCGGATTGAGTCGGGTAAACCCGTTTTTGAATTCCGGGGAGCGAATTACGCTAGTTTGAAGCTGCATCCGGGCCTGTCGGCGTACGCTGATGATCCCGACGGAGCGAGCGTGTCATTGACGGAGCTGGTGGAGTTCGCGAAAGGGAGAGTTCCGAGAGGATTGTGGAAGGAGACTGAAGTAAGGTTAATGGCGACGGCGGGAATGAGATTGCTTGAATTACCTCTTCAGGAAAAGATTCTTCAGGTTACGAGAAGAGTTCTTAAAGCCTCTGGGTTCATGTTTCGAGATGAATGGGCCTCTGTTATCTCTGGTGAGGTTTCAGAATCAATTCTTCATACTCTGCTTTGTACTTTGCTTCCTCATCCTTTAGTTTTTTCTATTGATTGTCATTGTTCAATACTAGAGTTTTAACCGATGATCAATGCACAACTGGATTTTGTTAGCAATATGATGGAAAATCAATGATCAATCTATAGAGTTTGGTTGGAAGTTGGAACCTTTAAGAGTTTAATTCTGAATATGGAGTTTGTTTCTCTTTTGATATTTTATGTTTCAATCCATCTGCGCTAATCATTGGATACTAAAAATTGCCAGGATCTGACGAAGGTGTATATGCTTGGGTTGTTGCAAATTTTGCTCTCGGTTCACTTGGTGGTGACGCTCTTAAAACAACCGGAATTGTTGAACTTGGTGGGGCTTCTGCGCAGGTTTAGCTTCTTTCCTCTCAAATTGTTGAATTTGGTGGGGCTTCTGTGACTTGGGAGACTCACAGATGATGAATGTTTGTATGTTTAGGTGACATTTGTGTCAAGTGAGCCAGTGCCTCCTGAGTTCTCACGTACGATATCATTTGGAAATGTTTCATACAATCTCTACAGTCACAGCTTCCTTCATTTTGGGCAGGTACCTTCCTTTGAGCAGTATATGTCTTTAGAACAGGTTTCACAGACTTACTGTAGCTATATTATTCCTCCTTTAAAGTCGGTTAATGAAAACCTTAATCCATTGCAGAATGCTGCACATGAAAAGTTATGGGGCTCGCTTGTCTCAAAAGACCAGAATTCAGGTGAGATTTTTTTTTATGATTCTATAACCTCTAATTGATGAATCATCAGTGTACTGATTGATATTTTCTAAAGTTCTCTAGCAAAGTTTTGTTTTGTTCTCACTCGTACGAGGTTTCATTTCTTGAAGCTGTAGAACCTACACGGCAAGGAATGTTTACAGACCCATGTGCTCCGAAAGGTTACAACCTCGACGCAAACACACAGAAGCATCTATCTGGTTTTTTGGCAGAAGAAAGCAGATTTTCAGCTTCTTTTCAAGCTGGGGGCAATTACTCAGAGTGTCGATCCGCTGCACTAACAATCTTGCAAGAAGGAAATGGTAGACTATTAATGATATCGCTGGACTTTCATCTATTGTGTCATTTTTAGCATTGTCTCTAATGGATAGATGATTCTACTTTTGACTACAGATAAATGCTCGTATCAGCATTGTTCTATTGGATCGACTTTCACCCCTAAGCTTCGAGGAAGGTTTTTAGCTACAGAAAATATCTTCTACACCTCTAAGGTACTTTGTTCTGTCATACCTGATTTCACTCTCGTAATGTATATGATCCCCTTAGAACAGCAACTCGATGTCCATGCGATTTCTGGAGAATGTTATGAACATAGTCTTTGTTTCTCATACCAGTTTTTCGGATTGGGAGAGAAGTCGTGGCTGTCAGATATGGTTTCTGCTGGAGAGAGATTCTGTGGAGAAGATTGGTCGAAGCTGAGAGTAAAAGACCCGTCACTCGAAGAAGACGATCTTCTTCGGTATTGTTTCTCATCGGCATACATTGTGTCATTGCTTCACGATACTCTCGGCATTCCTCTTGATGATGAAAGGTATGTCGGAAAATCCAAGAACCCTAAGCAAAAATACTTACATAAATGATTTATAATTCTCGTAAATAAGATTCAATCTGTTTAAAAAAAACGTTTCTTTTCTTCCGCAGAATCGGGTTTGCGAATCAAGCAGGAGATAACATACCACTTGACTGGGCCTTGGGGGCATTCATTCTACAGACTGAAGCATCGACCACTCAACACACAGCCTCTAGTAACCTCCATTGGTTCTATGCTCTGTTCGGTAATAACTCGAAGACGCTTTTCTATATCATCGGGATACCAATCCTTGTGACAGTTTTGGTGTGTTTGGTATCTAAGTGGAGAAAACCTCAGCTGAAAACCATATACGACCTTGAGAAAGGTCGGTACATAGTCACTCGGATTAGATGATCTTGGTTTAACCTGGTTTTCGCAAGAGTCTAGCCTCTCAAAAAGCCTGTGATTTTGGAGTACATCTTGTGTAAGGTGAGCTTTGTTTCAAACGAGCAGCATCTGAGTTGTATTAGATCAATGGCTTGGCAATTACCATTTGCTGTGGGAATCATGGGATATGAGAGTACATTAGTGTATTGTATGGGGATATATACATAATTATGATTGAAAAGCTCTTGTGCAATAAGGTTATGTTTAGATTATTAACCATTTGTATTGTCAAAAAAAAAAAATTAACTTTGATAATATAGTTTTCCTTTGAAAGAAAAATCTCTCGTTAATTACTATACATTAATTTAATCATTAATTCTGTCAAATGCATTTGTTTAATTTTCAGTTTTAAAAATTTATATGTTTTACTTGACGAAACTAATCTTTATACATTGACTTCAGAAAAAGGCTTTGTTTTCCCCTAGTTGTATTCTATCTAATCGTAACTCATTTCCGTAGTCATGCATCGTATATGACAAATATTCTTCCAATTTAATAAAATATTGCAAGCATAGCTCTTATCAATAATTATGCCTTGGCAAATTGAGCAATTAGTTGCCCAATTATGATAAAAAAATGATTAATAAAATCATAATTCCGCTGCAAAATAAATTAAAAGTACACACCATCACTGTATAACGAAAAAACAACTAATGTTTTCGTTACTACGGGGAACACGTCGTTCACGTTACAGCGCGGCAAAATCTAATGAAAATACCGTAAGTACCCTTTAATAATCTGAGTGATAATAACTAGAATGTTTTTGGTCAACGGCCATTAATGTTTTTCCTCACACGTCGTTATATGTTTTTTGTCTTTTCATTTCGCTATAAAAAGCGATTTTCCCCATTTGCTCGATTTGCGGGAAAAATCTTGTGAAGAGTTTTGGATCTGCCTCAGAAAATTTTCTGGGAGCACACAAAAAACTTTCCTCTCGTCTCTGGTTAATGTTCATCCCGATTCTCTGCATCTAATCAGGGACGAGAAAAAGCCCTTTCTCCGTTTTCACGCTATATAAAAACATCTATTGCCCCATTTTCGCAGGTGATTTTCGAAAATTTGAATCCTTTTTTGCTTTTATCCTGTCTTCGATTTCGTCCCGTTTTTGTTTTCTCTCGTTTTGGGAAACATATGTCGATGGGTTATTTTTGTTCCCAATAATCACAAATCTGTTCGATTAGGTTCTGATTTCGTCAGCATTTTAGGGGATTTCTCATTTGGGTTTTGTTTGAATAGTTGGAGGAATGATAGGTTTATTAACTGAGAGCAGCAGCCACATGGTGGTAAACGTGGAGGAACTGATTCGACCGGTGCCATTGCCGCCGGTTAACGAGGAGGTCGAGAAACCAGAGTCGACGGAGCCGTCGACGGTGGCCAATGATAAGGCGATTGATATCTCCGATGATGAGAACGAGCCGCTCATTGCTTCAGGGGAGTGCCGTATTTGTCAGGACGAGTGCCCTATCGAGAGTCTCGAGAGCCCTTGTTCTTGCAGTGGCAGCCTAAAGGTACTTTTCATTTCTCTAATTCATACAAATCTAATCACTCTTGTTTTTTTTATTAATGATTGGTTGAGATTGTGCAATATATTAGCTTTCTCTGATGGTTGATGAGAAAGTTTTATGTTTTATTCACCAGTATGCTCACAGAAAATGTGTTCAACGTTGGTGCAATGAAAAGGGCAACATCATATGCGAGATTTGTCACCAGGTATGTATAACCTGCTCTTTGTAATCATTAGGATTATTATAAACTTGAACCGATATGATTCTCTGTGTAATTTTCAAAGGCTTGATCACTGTCTGATGGACTTTTAACTTGTTTTACTAGCCTTACCAACCCGGATACACTGCTCCACCACCTCCACTTCAGCCTGAAGAAACAACTATTGACATTGGGTATATAGTAAAAAAAATCGTCTTTCTGCTTCTGTTATCTCTGATTTGATTGGTTTATATGTACTTATTACTGACTTATTGCATGTTGTGTTGCAGTGGAGGATGGACAATCTCAGGTTTGGATCTGCATGATCCTCGCCTTCTTGCCATCGCAGAAGCTGAGCGTCGGTATTTAGAATCTGAATATGTGGAGTATACAGCTTCAAGTGCCAGTGGAGCTGCATTTTGTCGCTCTGCTGCTTTAATAGTAAAGTCTTAAACGCTTCTTTAACAATATTTTCAAACAAGTGTCTTTGGTTATGATATAACCCCAAAAAACACACACTTTTCTTTTCACAGTTAATGGCTCTTCTTCTCTTACGACATGCACTTAACATAACAAGCGATGCTGATGGAGAAGAAGATGACCCGTCTTCGATACTATCTGTAAGTCGCAAGCTTCTTTCTGTTTTTTTTTTTGTTTCTCAGAGCAATTCATGTAAGTTCTAACACCAAAACACACAAAGTAATCTGGTTCTTATTGTATGTAGCTCGTCTTGCTCCGAGCTGCTGGTTTTCTTCTTCCTTGCTATATCATGGCTTGGGCCATTAGTATCCTACAGCGCCGAAGACAAAGACAGGTTAGTAGTATAAGAACTTATTGCAAGCATTGGTTCAGACAAGTGTCTTTTTTTTGCTTTCTTTCTCTGTCGTTAGGATCGAACTGATTTTTGGGCTCTGAACCGAACCGCTGATTGAACAGGAAGCTGCAGCTTTGGCTACACAGTTTGCATTGGTGCTTCAGTCAGGTCAACCTAGAACAGTTCACTTCACGGTTGCACCGGGACCACCATCACCCTCCATGGCCACTGCAACTACATCTACACAACAACAACATGAAGATCCCGTCTGAATCTTCTGACTCATAAACCATACAAGGTACGAGGTGAATCGAATGAAGAGTTGATGAATGAGTAAAGGAGTAACCATTTGATGTCTTCGGAAGTTTAGATCTCATTCCAAATGATCCCTTCATTTTTATCTGTAACCAAAAATGTCTATAGTTTTTATGTTTCTTGCAATAGTTCACAAATTGGTAAATTCTGTTTTTATACTATCTCCCGAGATTGTCTCGAAATTTCACTGTTTTAATACCCAAGAGAAGATTCTTCTTTCTTGTTCGGAGCCTGAAGGAGAACATAAGAGAACATAAGAGAACGAGTAAGTGTAAATTATTTGACTCCGTTGTATTTATATGATTACAGAAGATTATATGACTTAAACAAACAAAATAGTACTATGAACATAGTTAGTGTATGATACAATATCAAAAAAAATCAGTAAATCAAGGGTCTTCAATATGTGAATTATTATTAGAATCTGTTCTTCATGATTTATAATGTCAAAGGATTTTCATTCAAGTCCAAAACAAGATTGGTGGCAAGAAGACTTTTATTTGATTTAGCTTATTTTTCTCCTTTTGTTTAAATATAAATAATTTCATTTAAGTGTATTTATTTGTAAAGATCATTTGTAAGAACTATAAAAACTCATTGTTCTCATTGGAAAAAAAGATATAGAAATTTTTGGAAAATGAAAGAGAATTCTCTCTAAAAAGCTAAGGCTTTATTACTTTGTTTATTAGAGATTGTGTGGAATCACTTCTCTTATGTTCTTGCGAGTTCTTGAGTGTTTTGTGGAATCAGACATTTGAGTTTTCGTGTTGTTTCTTACTGTCCATGCGAGGATGAGCCCTTGGAAGTTAGAAGCATAAATTGTTGCATGTGGAATCAGTCAACCATCTATCCATTCCATCCACTGATCAACCTAAAAGAGACCTTAGTCCAGCAGGATTGATCCCGCAACCATCCACTTCGATCATCTTTTAAGCAAGTAGAAAGAGACTTCAGTCCAGTTGCTTGCTTTCACCCATTCACCCAACCATTTATAAGATCATCCCAAAAAAACTAAAAGACAATGACGTTTCTTCGAGAGGAAAAATGGCGATTTTTTGGGCGATCGCAACGTTTTTTCTTCAACTTCCGCTGTCTCTCTTTGGAGAGTGATTTCCGCTGTCTACCGGCGGTTTCTTCAGAGTCAGTTAACGAGATAACTGTTTCACAACCGTTATCCACTTTTCTATTTATTCTCTGCGTTGTTAATTACCATTGTTGTGAAGATCAAAACAAAGCAATTCCGTTTCCTTTGTTTATCCTAATAATGGCGAACAAACTGCGCAAACAACTTAAAGAGATTTCGCTTGGAATCAACGATGAAGTTATCAACCTTCCTGACGATCTTTGTTTTGCCGCTGCAGAAGAAATGAGATTTAGTCTTGTTTCCAAACCAATCAATCCGAGGAAGCAAAACCTACGTGCGATGATGTCAACTCTTCCGCGACTCTGGGGCCTTGGTGACGAGGTCGTGTGTCGAATCATCACCAATCAGAAGATCCAATTCTTATTTCAGTCGGAGGAATCGATGAACTCAGTGCTCCGCAGAGGACCGTGGTCTTTTAACGAATGGATGTGTCCATTGCAGAAATGGACCCCTTCTCACACCGACGATGATCTAAAGTGTATTCCTTTTTGGGTGCAAATAAAGAGGATCCCGCTTCAATTCCTCTCTCTACGCATGGTGATACATATTGGTGAAATGATGGGACACTTCCTTGAAACAGATTTCAATGGCGATGGTGCTTTACATGTTGACTATGTTCGTGTACGAATACTTTGGAATATCGATATGCCACTACGCTTTCAACGCATCTTCAACTTTGATGGTCAAATTTCAGTTTTGCGCTTTCACTACGAGAAACTGAGAGGTTTCTGCTCTATTTGTGGACTTCTCTCTCATAACGGAACAGAGTGTCCTCTGAATAATACAGAGCCATCCACAAATGTTTCTCCTGATGACGACAACGATGCTGATGATCATGATGACGAAGATCAACCTCCAGGATTTCAACCACAACCGGAATACAACCCTGAAACAACGCCTCGAACCGACACCACTCAATCAGACGAAGACAAACATGAGGACCAAGGATCGGCATCAAAGAAGAGAAAAACAGAGTCTCCGGGTTCTGTTTTGGACACACCTTAGTTGGTGTATGATATGCGACAAGCATATGCCGTGGATGATTTTTAGGAAACGACATTCAAACGTAGGAAGACACAAGGCGAGATTCGCGAAATTCGGCAATGTCTCGGGCAACCGGTAGGGGGAGCAAGCACATCAACCAACGGAGGAGCTTCCGGCAACGGCTCTTCACCAATCAATCGAGAAGGCACGGTGGGCCAGAAACCACCAGGATCAGAATGAATACAGTATTTTGGAACTGCCGGGGCTTGAAAGGGTCCCTGGTAGTTCGACGCCTCAAAGGGATTAAGCGTACTTACTCCCCGGACATACTCTTTCTGGTCGAAACAAAGAATCCCGATGATGTAATCCGTGATGTTGCTGCTCAAATTGGTTATGATTTCGTTCGTTGTGTTTCTCCACATGGGATTTGGGGGGGGGGGGGGGGGGGGGGGGGGGGGGGGGGGGGGGGGGGGGGGGGGGGGGGGGGGGGGGGGGGGGGGGGGGGGGGGGGGGGGGGGGGGGGGGGGGGCCTTAATGCGGAAAAAGTCACTGAATGTAACATTCATCTCTTGTGATGAAAGAATGCTCGATTGTAAGATAATAAATAAAGAGTTTTCTTTCTACTTGTCGTGCATTTATGGCCATCCCATTCGTCAATTAAGGCATCACCTTTGGGAACAACTCGAGAGATTATCGAGTGACAGAGTTGGTCCTTGGTTAATGTGTGGCGACTTTAATGAAATTCTGAATCCAAACGAAACAAGAGGAAGTCGAGTGAGAGATGAATGGAGTTTAGTGAATTTTCGGAATATGGTGAACACCTGCAGAGTTACAGACTTACCTTTTAGCGGATCCAATATTACTTAGATGGGTAAAAGAAGAGGGGGTTTAACAATCGAAAGCTGGCTTAATCGTGCTTTAGCCAACGATGAATGGAGAGCCGCATTCCCAGCTTCAGAAGTTCATTATTTGGAGATGATTGAGTCAGACCATCGGCCTGCAATTATTAAAATTAGAAAGGAACGAGATTATGGCAGAAAATTCATTCGGTATGACTCCCGCCTTAGTCAAAACCCAGAATTTGAACATATTGTTCAAGATAGCTGGTCTTCTGCTGTCTCGCCGCCCTTGTCTTTGGTTGATCGTATAAGGAACTGTCGCAACAGTATAGCTGCATGGAAACATACAACACCATCAAATTCAGCGAAGCGTATTAAGGAATTAATTTCTTTGCTCGACCATGCGCATTCTGATCCTGGATGCACAAGTGAAATGCTCCGGGAATTGAGATCACAACTACTATATGCTTACAAAGATGAAGAATCATTCTGGTATCTTAAAAGTCGTAATTCTTGGCTCAAAAAAGGAGATCGTAACACTCGATTCTACCATGCCTCTACTCAGAATAGAAGAGCTCGTAATAACCTTTCTATGCTTAAAGATCATATTAGACATGATCTTCATGGTAATCGCGCTATCGCGAATGAGGGTATCCGTTATTTTTCTGAACTTTTTCAGTCTACAACCAACGGTGCCTATATTGAGAGTGCTCTTCGATTTATAACGCCGGCTGTCTCTCAAGATATGAATGAATTTCTTACCTGAGATATCACGCCAGACGAGGTTCACAAGGCCATATCTTCAATAGGGGGTACGAAAGCACCTGGTCCTGATGGCTTTACAGCAAGTTTCTTTCATAAATATTGGCATATTGTGGGTCCTGACATTGTGCAAGCAATCCAAACTTTCTTTGAATCTGGAACCATGAAAGCTACTCTGAATCATACTAATATCTGCTTAATCCCAAAACTCGACACATCATTGTCTATGAAAGATTTCAGGCCGATTGCCCTTTGTAATGTTCTTTACAAAGTTATCTCCAAAATAATGGTCTTCCGACTTAAAAGCATACTCTCTCAAGTGGTGTCCGACAATCAAGCGGCCTTTATTCCTGGGAGATACATCACTGACAATGTCCTCCTCGCACATGAAGCACTACATGCCCTCCGCGTCCGTAAGAGATGTGCAAACTCTTATATGGCTGTTAAAACTGATATAAGTAAGGTCTACGATCGTATAGAATGGGATTTCCTGGAGGCTGTACTACACAAAAAGGTTTCTCCGATAAATGGATACAATGGACAATGGCTTGTGTGCGTTCTGTCTCCTTCTCTGTCCTGATCAACGGCAGTCCTTACGGCTTGTTTCACCCATCACGCGGTCTACGACAAGGTGATCCTTTGTCTCCATATCTCTTTATACTTTGCGCAGATGTACTAAGTTCTTTGATGGATGCTGCAACACGAAACAACGAAATCCAACCCATCAGACTTAATTGGTGGTCCCCCTTTATCTCACTTACTTTTTGCCGATGATTCTCTCTTTGTGAAGGCTGATCACCGAAACAGCAAAGCGCTTTCTGAGATTTTTCAAATTTATGGCAGAGCCTCGGGTTAGCTTATAAACTTTACCAAATCCGCAATCACCTTTGGCGACAGAGTTTTTCATCATACTCGAGAGTCTGTGAAACAAATCTTACAGATTCAAAACATGGGCGGTGGTGGAAAATATCTTGGTTTACCAGAACAATTTGGTCGCAGCAAAAAGGAAATGTTTGCGTATAACAAAACATGTGTTACTCAAAAGATAAATGGTTGGCAGAACCGTTTTCTCTCTACTGGTGGCAAGGAAGTTCTCCTCAAATCGGTGGCATTTGCAATGCCTGTTTACTCAATGAATTACTTCCAATTACCAATAGCACTCTGTAAGGACCTCAATAGTTTATTGTCCCGCTTCTGGTGGGGTGGTACACATCCTCATCGTAAGATATCCTGGGTTTCATGGCAAAAACTCTCCACAACAAAAGCTAAAGAAGGTCTGGGTTTCCGCGATCTCCACAAATTTAACCAAGCACTTGTTGCTAACCAAGTGTGGAAATTGATGCAACGACCGCACTGTCTTCTCTACAAAGTATTACAAGGATGTTATTTCAAAAATGGCTCGCTTCTTACTGCAACACGAGGCTCACAACCATCATTTGGTTGGCAAACTCTGCTTTTTGGCCGCAAACTATTAACCCTTGGCCTTCACTCTCAGATAGGAGATGAAACTACAACTCAACTTGGCTCCGCCTGGCTACCGACGGATCCCCCAAGAGCTCCACGCCTTTTACTGTATGCAAACCCCATCCTGCCGGTTTCTACTCTTATTCACTCCCAAAACCGACAGTGGGAAGCTGCCACTCTCTCCGATCTCATTGAGCAACAAGATCACATTCATATTCAAAGAATCTATTTACCGACTTGTTCCTCTCCGGACAACATGATTTTGCAATACACATCTAATGGTATTTATTCAGTCAAATCGGGCTATCATCTAGCGGTACTATCCGCTCCTTTTGACACAGCAATTACACCACCTTTAGCGGCAAATCCGGAACTTACAAAAAATATTTGGCGTTTAGATATTCCAGGGAAATTACAACATTTTCTTTGGCGAATATCCTCAAGAGCGATTGCAGTCTTCGCTAACCTTCGCAACCGTCACATCAACGCTGATCCGCTTTGTCCCAGATGTTGCTGGCATGAGGAAACAAGTGAACATGTCTTTTTCTCATGCCCTTATGCTCTATGCGTTTGGCGATGTACCAGTATGACTTTACATCATATTGTTAATCCTCTACTTCCCTTAGAGGATAAGTTATCATATCTAACTTTCATAAGCTCCCAAAGATCTACATCTCGTCACCGCAATTTTCTCCCATTTTGGATTCTTTGGCAACTCTGGAAAAGTAGAAATGATCTAGTATTCAATAATAACTCCCTCTCGGTAGAGGACCTTCTCAAACGTGCACACGACGCTACTACAGAATGGTTAGAACACTCTTCAGACTTTGATTATAATCAACCTCGCTTGTCGCCTGCCATTTCCCCTTCAGCTTTGCAACGATGGACACCACCCCCTCATGGTTGGACAAAATGCAATTATGATGCTTCGCATCATATGACTAACCAGCATTTAGGTCTGGGGTGGATTATACGAAATTCACAAGGAGTTTTCCTAAATGGTGGAATGGGCAAATATAAGGGTCGTTATACTTCTGAAGAAGCTGAATGTTCGGCACTTATTTGGGCTTTACAATCTACATGGTCTTTAGGATATACGAAGGTGATAACATTAACATTGTGAAGCTACTCAACTGTGATGCTGCTAATCTCAGGTTACGACATTACATCCACACTATTAAAAGCTGGACATCCATGTTCTCAGCGCTCAAATTCACTTACCGAAATCGTCTTTCAAACCAATGTGCTGACAAGCTTGCGAAACAGGGGGCTGTGTCTGAATCTCACTGGAGTTTATTTTATTGTTGTCCAACTTTTCTGATGTCTTTTGTAAACAATGATTCTCCCGTTCAATAATAACAACACCATTTAGACGGAAAAAAAAAAGAAAAAAAAAATATCATTTTGGTATCAGAGCTAAAAGCTTCTATCCTCTATCTTTTTTATATCTGTTTTGTTTTTGTTTCATGATTTACAAGATTTCATTAAAAAAAAAAAGTTTTGGTTATTTTTACTATTTAAATTTTATAAAACTAAAAAAAAACCAGAAAAATATTTCTATGTTTTTGTTCTTTGATTCGTGATTTTTTTTTATTAAAAAGGCCCATAAAAAATCAGTGTTTTTCCCTTATAATTGAAGTTTGTTGTTGATAGAAAAAAAAAGTTGACAAAATTTTTTTTGAAGTTTATTTCTTTCATTAAAAAAAACAAAAAAAACTCTATTTCTATTTATGTTTTTTGTTTATTTCGATTTTTCTGTTTAAAAAAAAAACAAAAAATGAAAAAAAAAATTATTTGTTTTCTAAATAATATTTTTTAAAAAAGAGTTTTGAGGACAAAACCATTTGAAGAGGGAGAGAATGATACAATATCAAAAAAAATCAGTAAATCAAGGGTCTTCAATATGTGAATTATTATTAGAATTTGTTCTTCATGATTTATAATGTCAAAGGATTCTCATTCAAGTCCAAAGCAAGATTGGTGGCAAGAAGACTTTTATTTGATTTAGCTTATTTTTCTCCTTTTGTTTAAATGTAAATAATTTCATTTAAGTGTATTTATTTGTAAAGATCCTTTGTAAGAGCTATAAAAGCTCATTGTTCTCATTGTAAAAAATATATAGAAATTTTTGGAAAATGAAAGAGAATTCTCTCTAAAAAGCTAAGGCTTTGTTACTTTGTTCATTAGAGATTGTGTGGAATCACTTCTTTTATGTTCTTGCGAGTTCTTGAGTGTTTTGTGGAATCAGACATTTGAGTTTTCGTGTTGTTTCTTACTGTCCATGCAAGGATGAGCCCTTGGAAGTTAGAAGCATAAATTATTGCCTGTGGAATCAGTCAACCATCTATCCATTCCATCCACTGATCAACCTGAAAGAGACCTTAGTCCAACAGGATTGATCCCGCAACCATCCACTTCGATCATCTTTTAAGCAAGTAGAAAGAGACTTCAGTCCAGCTGCTTGCTTTCACCCATTCACCCAACTATTTATAAGATCATCCCATTGATCTTATATCAGTGTACGAATCAGAGAATTAGATCAAAAGCATCAGAGTCTCCACTTGAGACAACCGAATCATCATCATCATCTTGATCTTCTACAACATCCGCACCATCACAAGTCATAACAGGTGGAGTAAAATGCAAAACCTGATCTATCCTTTTCTCAGTCAGAGCCAATCTTCTCTCAAAGCTCAACACACCCCTATGCATATTCCTCACATCAATCTCAGCGACACGTGCCAAACCCGCAAAAGAATGTAGTAATCCGCGTGAGCCGGGTACTTCATTGCTCCATCTTCTATTTTCCTCACATAGTGAAGATAGTCTAGTCTCTTCACCTTCACACGAGGCGGTATGTAAAAGAACAAATTCTCCCTCATGTCTGTTATTAGTCTTGTCATTGACAACTCCTTTGATTCCTCTTCTTGATTATGATTCTCCCTTGACATGCTCTCGCTTCTCCTTGAAGGACTAGTACAAGGAATGTTTCCATCACCAAACTCGGTATCGTCCAATGAAAGCTGGTGAAGTGATACATCATCGTCTTCCCACTCTCTTCCCCTTTTTAATGGAGTCCCATACATGTTTTTACTTTTCACCTTGTCCTTGGTGTAACCATTCCACAAGTTATCAACAGTTCTGTAACTATCATCAACTGATGCTTCTACTAAACCAGCAAATAGCTCGTTTCTCCCGTGCGCTAAATAGGACAAAAGATCCTTCTCATAATCTGCAAAAACCAAAAACAAGATTCAGGAAAAAAGATAGAAATCTATAGAGAGACTAATGAAAGATATAAAGGTAAATATTACCAACGGATTCAGCAGCAGCGACATCATAAAATTTTGCTTCAAGATTCTTCAAAAGCTCCTCGGCGTCGAACTCAGTTGCTTTCGTGACATCTGATAACTCTTCAGCATCCGGTTTTGTCTCTGAAACCTCAGAAACAACGCCCAAACTCCTTGCCCACGCACCGAAACCGTTGATGTTATAAAGCATCCTTATAGCTACAATCACAATAGACATGACACAGACTCGTGTAGGAAGCCTGAGCTCGTTCTTCGACAGATACAAATCCGAAGGCATTGACCATTTCTGTATGAGACGCACGAGATCAAGAACCTTCTCCTGGCCGGTGATAGATAACCGGTTTAGATAGTTTGAAGCTATACCATACAGATTCACAGGAGGCAAACGCAAACCGATGATATCAGCGATTGAGGCGGCTCTTGCTTCTAGTCTCTGAGCAGAAACAACCTGATTAGGCCTAAACATTACGCTCGCTTCCACAGGACAAGCAGCTGATCTCTTTCCCATCTTCTCTTGGATCTTGAGGAAACAAGATTGATACGGAACTTTCCCTTCTCGTGCCCATCTCACTATATCCGTGGGTAGAACCGTTGCTCCTGCTTTGTGACAAGCGAGGAAAGATATAGCAAGAGAGCTCGATAATGGCAGAGAATTTCTAAGCTGACTTACCCATATCGTCACTGCTCTTTTACCATCTAAGTTACGAGGCTCGAGTTCTTTTTCTCTGTTTCGCCGCTTACTCTCTCTTACTTATACAAATCAAGAAATGTCATAAAAAAAGAGATGAAATCAGTAACACTAGAATCTTGGATTAGTAAAAAACAAAAGCAAATTTTCTACCTTTTGAGTGAAGCTCTGAATCAAGAATTGCCTTATCGGCCCAACCATCATCGAAGACGCCGGAGAGAGCCACGAGCCTTAAGCAGATTGGTCCGACCAAACCAATAATCAACGGCGTGACGTTAAATTTCTCGACCAACGCATCGCATTGAAGCGTTATCATCATCAGAAAGCCGTTCACGTATCGATCTCTTACCTGCCCGTAATACTCCTCGTAACTAAGCTGCGAAGGAGTGAGTGCATGCGAAGGAGGAAGACGGCGAGGGTGTTTTCGTTGATACATTGCGCCGCGAGTACCTCCGTCGTCTCCGGTTAAATCCTCGTCGTCGACGGCCGACGCGATCATGTCGTCTTCTCTGACGCCGCATTGCTGGCAGTAGAAAAACCCATCATCTTCGTCGAAGGCGTCGTTGTCGCACTCCGTGCGTATCATCGGGATCTCCACCGTCATTGCAGGAATATGAAAGGAAAGGAAGAAACTTGTGACCCAAGAAGAAAACCCTAAATCAGGCTTGTGAGAGAAAGAAGAAATAGAAGATTGCGTTCAGATTTCTGCTTCGAAGGTCGGCTTCAGGCGTAAAAAATCAGGGCTTATAGAAAAAATAATTATTTTATCTGTTTAAATTGAAAATGGAAAGACTAGTTTGTTCCTGGCTCTAAATGGTAAACATGAAATTGATCGATCACATGATATACCTTTCCTGATTTTCAAGTTTACAACCCAAATCTTTTTTTACATTCTTTGATGAAATTTTAAGAAGATACCCTACCATTTTCCTCATTTTAGGAATGGTACACAAATTAGTTGAACTCTTATTGTAAAACCATGTGTGACATGACAAGTATTAACTAGGACATCTTTCCAACAAAAAACAAAAACAAAAAAAAGTAGTAACTAGGACCTTAAGAAGATACCCTACCAAAGTTAATTGAGATCAGACGAAATCCATGTGACATAACAAGTATTAACTTGGAACCTTTTATCATATAATCAGAAAGAACAAACACAAATTTTAGTCGTTTTTCAGACGCACTTAACATTTCAATCCTAAAATTGATTGTGTAACGATTGTTACATCTTTCTCCTTATTACTAATTAACATATATGTGAATGGGACAACAAAGTACTATATATTTGCGACTTCAATATCTTTCTAGAGCTTTCAAAAATGCAACTAAGATGATGATTTTTTTCATATAACCAATCAGTTGTTTTTTTTTTCTTTTAATCAAGTGGAGTAACAGCTTTGGAAGGCTATGTTGAGAGACTGAGAATCAAACACGTAAACTGTGGGGCTCACGCTTAAATTGCTACCATTCATTTGTCGACTGTAATGACCAATAAGCATATTTTATAAATTTCGTTACACACTATCCTTGATTGACAGATATATGGAATTTGTGTTTTGAATTTATTAGAATTTTGTTATATTTTAACCTAGAAAATAATACACATTACTCACAATTATTTGATATGTATTACATCAGAAGATACGATCACATGAATCTTCTAATACATATACACATAAATTATAGAGCGTACGTCAAATTATTACATAGAACATTATTATATTTTACAAAACCCAACTCGATGGTCTTTGTCAATATCTCCCCATGCAACAAAATACGTACAGCCCTCGTGCTTCCTATTTTTGTATCTTTGTTTCTCTAAGAGAATTACATCCACTAGTATTTTCTTTTTGTTTATTCGCTTATAATTGTTTAATGAAAAATATATATTATATAATCCAAGCAAATCAAGATTCACTTTTCGGGGTCAATCCTAACATGTTTTTTAAAGTGTGTCATCCCATACCAATAAATACTTTAACGCCCGATTTGTAATAAGAAATTTTATTTATTGAAACGATCGCCATTACGTAATGTATATATTCTTTTATTAATTGTTATGCGAGATTGCATTTTATATTACATCTTTTGACTTGTGTGAACTAGTGTGTAGTTAAGTGATTTTTGTCATGATTTCTCTTCAAAATAAAAATGTTAATCTGAATCTTGGTTTAATAATGAAATCTTGTAGGAGCTGCATTTGCAAGTTATGTTGGTTTAGTCATCCTTAATTGTACTCGTTAGTCAATTTTACGCCTATTATTCGATTAATTTTGTTATTGTTCTCCGTTAATTGAGAAATATTTAACAATATTATCCAGCATTTTATTCAAAAAAATCACAAATTTCAGTTCACACAACAACTGGCCAATGACACAAAGTGGAACCCACTCACATTGATCAGAACACTTTAGATTTCAGAGAAACCAGCTTAGCTTTCAACACTTTGTCTTGTTTCTCTATTCAACTATATATACCCTAATCTAATTCACACACAAGCAAGAAATAAAGTTATCAAACCAAACAAACAAAAAAATGGTGACCATAACATCATCTTCTTCAACTCCAAAGATATCTTTTGATTTCACGAAGAGCAACAACAGTCACAGTCTCTCTGTCCCTTTCTCTTCTCCTTCTTGTTCTTCTTCTTACTTGAGCAGCAAGGAAGAAGCTGTTGTCACAACCAAGAAGCTCACGGAACCCTGCAAAACCCTAAACTTGAGCATCAGTCGAAAAGAAGATCAAAAGCTTGTCGATGAGACGAAAATGGTGAAGAAAGCTCCTGAAGATCCAGAGATCGGTGTGTTTGGAGCTGAGAGGTACTTCAATGGCGACATGGATTCGGACCAGAGTTCTAGTGTTTTGTCTCTGACAAACCCAGAAGTTGAGAGATTCATTGTTGATACGAAGGAGAGCGCAAAGAAGTCCACTGGAACGCCGAGTGTCCGCTCTGAATCAAGCTGGAATAGTCAGAGCATATTGCTTCAGAACAAGTTGGTGAATAGCAGTAACACTTCCTTGGAGGAGATGAAGAAGAATACTGGTCAGATTTCAAAGATGGACAACAATAAGAAGAGTTTTCTCTCGAATTTGGGGTGTAAATGCGTGTGCTCTGATGGGAATTCAGTAGATGTCGACGATAAGATCTCGGTTAAGAGAAGCTCTGATCCAAATATCTCTGTTTTCACAGCGAGGAAGATCGAAAATCAGATGAATTCTTGTGTGAATCTGAACACAGAACTGATCAAAATTCAGAAGCAAGAAGAGTTAGTGCAGAGGAAGTCTCTTGAAGTGTTTGGATCTCCTGTGAATATCGAGAAGAAGAGGATTGTTGGTCAGAAGAAACTCAGCGTGCTTCCATGGGAATCAAAAACAGAGGAGGACGACACAAAGAGTGAAGGGAGTGATTCAAGCTCGGATCTTTTCGAGATAGAGAATCTCACAGGGAAACCAAAAGCTTGTCTCACAAGGCAAGGGAGTGATCCGGCTTCACCAACATGTTATGCTCCAAGTGAAGTAAGCATAGAGTGGAGCATAGTGACAGCAAGTGCAGCAGATTTCTCTGTTATGTCGGAATGTGCGACAAGTCCTGTAAGAAGAAACCGATCTTCTCAGATTCCTCGGATCCCTACTAATACCGCAAAATCAGCACCGCAGAGACGGAAATCGAGTAGCAGCGGAAGTGGTGGTCTCTTGTTGAGCTGCAAGAGTCATAAGTCTGTTAGGGTTTCTGAGGAGTCAGACAGAAGAAGCAGCATGAACAAGACATCAACGAGTTATGTTCCGAGATTCCCAATGGAGACTACTAAACCTAAGAGCTTTGAAACACGACGAAGGATCAGCAACAGCTCGATTTCTCACTCACAGTCATCTCTTCTGTATAGTAAATAATTGCACAAAAGTAAAAGAAAGCTATTTCAATCTGTATTATCTATCGAGTGAGAACTTTTTTATAAAGTTTTTCTTGTTGATTTTTTATATTATAAGGTCATCTTCCACGTGAAAATCAAATCGGTTTTAAAGGTTTCTTAGAGATTTCTTGCACCATAAAAAGACCCCCAGAAAACATACTCAAAAAGTGATATTTGATTTGAGAGTGAATAAATCAATTTCCTCAGTAAAAGACACAGATCTGAAATGCAGTAAAATGATTAGACAAAATCCAAAAATTGTCCCCACCAAGTGTTTTTTTTTTTTTAACGTAGTCTGAAGAAAGAAAGATACAAGATTTGTCTTAGCTTCAAAGGGTTAAAATCAAACGTATAAGAGTTTGTCAAAAAGAGCTACTAATGAGGAGGAAACTTAAATCAATGAAAATGTCATTTTACCTAACATATCTAAGATCTTGGTCCGTAAGGCCATGTGTGTCTGAGATGAAAGCAAAGTGGACAAAAACCTTAACTGTTTCGTTGAAAATATGGAGTGATGTGAGAGAAAAGAACCAAAGTGCTTATTAAGACAATAAATACAAAGAAGATGTATGTCTTTGTAGCCAACTCATAATAGGAAAAGATTGAATTTTAGTTACACGAAAATGATCTTATCCACTCCATTGAAGCTTCCCTTGAGTTAACTCAAAAAGAGGTAATCAGTTTTCAAGAAATAAATGAATGAAAGCAAAATGATTCTCCTAGAAATCAAAGCTAATACAGTATGGGTTTGATTTGAAAACCAAAAACAAAACATATATAGAGATCTTGAAGATAAGTATTGTATTGTTTCCTTCTCAAAAAGATATGGGGAAATAATGGAGCCATCACTTAATTTCTTATAAAACAAAATAAAGTCTAAAATCAAATCAAGACATAACTACTCAGTTTTCCATATGTGGAGGAGAGAAAAACAACAAAAGCAAGAAGACATTTGTGTTAAAAAGGCAAAACAAAAATTACTCATATTTGATTTCTTTGGTTGGCCATGCTTCAAAGTGTCCGCCTGCTATTTCCACAAAGTGAATAAGGCAAGTAGGTACGGAGAATCCGATCCCACATGACAAAGAATGTCTAAGAGAAGTTCTTATTTACTTCCTTCAGAGTTTGTGAAAGGCGTTTCACAGGAGAAGGAGAAGAAGCCTTGTGTGGCGAAACATTCACTGTCTTAATTCCTGTCGCCTTCAGAAAACCACAAACATATACATAGGTTCACGAACTGAATCAATGATCATGATTATATAAACTACAATCTGATATTTCAGAACAAAATGGTTTCTGGTGGTTACTGAGATCTTAATTCTTAAATATGCCAACTTGAAAACTAAATCTCTTTATATGCAAATCAATACAACAATAACACTCAAGTCTCTCCATAAGTTGACACATCAGATTTTTTAATCTTTGAAAAGCTGACACCTCAGCTATTTTAAAAACCAATCAAATTAAAACATTATTACAACTCATTTACTTATTTTAATTTTTAAATTTAAACTCATTAAAAACTCAAATACATTTTTTGTTAATAATTTGTTTAATTTTCTAACAAATCAAAGCCCAAATAATAAATAACAAAAAATAAACAAAAAACTTTGTTTTATTGTTTGCCAAATCCAAGCCCAAATAATAAATAACAACAAATAAAAAAAGTTAAATCTTTGTTTTATTTTTTGCCAAACCCAAACCCAAATAATAATTAACAGCAAATAAATAAATAAAAATTTAGCTATTTGTTTGTTCGACAGAGACGTATATGATTGAAAAAGTGTAGGTTCATCATCAACTATGTTTCCATAACAACAACGCAGAAAGCCTTATGTTATAAAAAGATCACACATTAGCAAAAATTTGAACCAATAAAAACATAACAATAATACATATCATTAACACACTAATAAAATCAGTTTACTATTTTGCAGACCCATTAAAAGCCCAAAAGTTTACAAAAAAATAAAAGTCGAAAGCAAATGAGGAAAAGCTCAGTTCACCATAACTTAAAGATTCGCATTTCCAGTGGTTACTGAGAACAAATTTCCATAGGTTTAGCGGGAATAGGGAATTCATTGGTTTCGGTAGGAACATGTGATTTTCAGTTTTGCTAGGAAAACATAATTTCTTGGTTATGGCGGAAAAAATGAATTATCGGGTTTGGCGGAAAAATGTGAATTTCTGGTTTTGGTGAGAAAACAAAAAAAAATTGATTTTGACGCGAAAACAAAATATCTTAGTTTTGACGAGAAAATGCGAGGAAAATGCAACTTTTCAATTGACAAAAAATACGACTTTTTGGTTTTGATAGGAAATGTAAATTTTCGGCTTTTGATGGATAATGTGATTTCTTGATTTTTGCGGGAAGATGTGATTACTTAGTTTTCGTGGGAAATTGTAATTTGACGATTTTGGCGGAAAATGCAATTTCTCAGTTTGATGGGAAAACAAAATTTCTCGATTTTAGAAAGAATAAGCAATTTCTCGGTTTTGATGAAAAATGTAAATTTTCAGTTTTTGACATATAATGTGATTTTTTGGTTTTCGCGGTAAAATGCGATTTTTTAGTTTTTGCGGAAAAGATAATGCAATTTTTGGTTTTCGCGAGAAATTGTAGTTTATCAGTTTTGGTAGGAAGGCATGATTTTTGGTTTGATGATTTTTTTTTTTGCGGAAATTCATGATTTCTCAGTTTTCATTGGAAAATGAATTTTTTTGTCTTGGTGATAAAATTTGATTTCTCTGTTTTGACGGGAAAACACAAGTTCTCGCAGAAAAATATGATTTTTTGGTTTTTGCGGGAAAATGTAATTTCTATGTTTTGGTGTGAAAATGAAATTTCAGGTTTGACGAGAAAATGATTTTTTTTTTATTTTGGCGGGAATATGTGAAATAATTTTTGTTTTAATTTTTAAATTTAAACTCATTAAAAACCCAAATATATTTTTTGTTAATAATTTCTTTAATTTTCTAACAAATCAAAGCCCAAATAATAAATAACAAAAAATAAACAAAAAACTTTGTTTTATTGTTTGCCAAATCCAAGCCCAAATAATAAATAACAACAAATAAAAAAAGTTAAATCTTTGTTTTATTTTTTGCCAAACCCAAACCCAAATAATAATTAACAGCAAATAAATAAATAAAAATTTAGCTATTTGTTTGTTCGACAGAGACGTATATGATTGAAAAAGTGTAGGTTCATCATCAACTATGTTTCCATAACAACAACGCAGAAAGCCTTATGTTATAAAAAGATCACACATTAGCAAAAATTTGAACCAATAAAAACATAACAATAATACATATCATTAACACACTAATAAAATCAGTTTACTATTTTGCAGACCCATTAAAAGCCCAAAAGTTTATAAAAAAATAAAAGTCGAAAGCAAATGAGGAAAAGCTCAGTTCACCATAACTTAAAGATTCGCATTTCCAGTGGTTACTGAGAACAAATTTCCATAGGTTTAGCGGGAATAGGGAATTCATTGGTTTCGGTAGGAACATGTGATTTTCAGTTTTGCTAAGAAAACATAATTTCTTGGTTATGACGGAAAAAATGAATTATCGGGTTTGGCGGAAAAATGTGAATTTCTGGTTTTGGTGAGAAAACAAAAAAAAATTAATTTTGACGCGAAAACAAAATATCTTAGTTTTGACGAGAAAATGCGAGGAAAATGCAACTTTTCAATTGACAAAAAATACGACTTTTTGGTTTTGATAGGAAATGTAAATTTTCGGCTTTTGATGGATAATGTGATTTCTTGATTTTTGCGGGAAAATGTGATTACTTAGTTTTCGTGGGAAATTGTAATTTGACGATTTTGGCGGAAAATGCAATTTCTCAGTTTGATGGGAAAACAAAATTTCTCGATTTTAGAAGGAATAAGCAATTTCTCGGTTTTGATGAAAAATGCAAATTTTCAGTTTTTGACATATAATGTGATTTTTTGGTTTTCGCGGTAAAATGCAATTTTTTAGTTTTTGCGGAAAAGATAATGCAATTTTTGGTTTTCGCGAGAAATTGTAGTTTATCAGTTTTGGTAGGAAGGCATGATTTTTGGTTTGATTATTTTTTTTTTTTGCGGAAATTCATGATTTCTCAGTTTTCATTGGAAAATGAATTTTTTTGTCTTGGTGATAAAATTTGATTTCTCTATTTTGACGGGAAAACACAAGTTCTCGCAGGAAAATATGATTTTTTGGTTTTTGCGGGAAAATGTAATTTCTATGTTTTGGTGTGAAAATGAAATTTCAGGTTTGACGAGAAAATGATTTTTTTTTATTTTGGCGGGAATATGTGAAATAATTTTTGTTTGTTTTGTCGGAAAGTGAGATTTCTCAGTTTTTAAAAAAATGACAATTTGCTTTATATAATTTCAAAAGAGGATCAAGTGGCAATTTAGTAGAGATAACAAATTACATTTGCCATTAATATAAAGATACTTAAAAATATATTGTTTTATTCTTACATATATATTTATAGATAGTTAGCTAAACAAATTTGATAATAAATTATAATTTTGAAAAATAAAAAAAAATTTAAGGATATATAATGTTTATTCAGATTTAAAACATAAATATATAACTTAAGCAATAAAAAATAAATATAATATTCATTTATATTATAAAAATAATTTTATTATATTAAAATATATACAAAATCTAGAAATATATCTCGCAGCATAGCGCGGATATATACCTAATAGTAATACAATAGAACATGAGAATCTCAATGCTCTCCTTTACAAGCAACGATTGATTTAAGACACCAAATTGCGAAACCGAAATCCTTTAATTCAGCACAGGACACGTGGCACTTTGATAGTTGTTATTATCACCTAAATAAGAATAAGCTTTGCTGATTTTTAATCAAGATTTGAATGAAATTAATGAATTAAAATACAATTTGGGTTTAATGATTGGTGGGTTAAGCCAGGCCCGTGGTTATTATCACCTAAATAAGAATTAAGCCAGGACTCGTGGCAATTTGATAGTGGTTATCATCACCTAAATAAGAATTAAGCTTTGCTGATTTGAATGGAATTAATGAATTTATATACAATTTGGGTTTAATGATTGGTGGGTTGAGCCAGGCTCGTGCAGTAGTGCAACGCATGGGCGACTCACAAAAGCCCAGATAGCAAGCTATTTTGATGGGCTTTCTCCCTTAAAAAATAGAGTTAATATCGTGTAAGCCGATGGCCCACATATCAGATATTAAACTGATAAGAACAGATACTACACTTGATCTTAGCCAAAAGGCCGAGAAAGGTATGATTTGTTTGGGCCATCGAGCTTTGGTTTTATACACCATCTTTGTGAGTAAACGATTCAAAGCTAAGCGATGTGGGATTTATAAGTAATAACCAAAGTTTTTCTTTACGCCGGACAAACTGAAGACATTAATTAATTTAATTTAATTTTCTCTAACAGTTTGTCATATTAAATATATAGTAAACTATAATTACAGCGACCTCTCTCCATTCCGAATTATAAAAGCCGTTATATATGAACATTTCTTCATCTCAGAGGTGAAGAAAGGAGATTGGTATGTTTGGAGCTGAAAAATACATGGGTTCAGACCAGAGGTCTAGTGCTCTGTCTGGACAAACCCAGAAGTTGCGAAATTGGTTGTGTTAATTGGAAGCAGAAAGCGAGGAAACCTACTGTAACTTCGAGTTCCCACTCTGAATCAAGCTGGAATAGTAAGAGGATGTTGCTTCAGAACAGATTGGTGATTAGCTGCAACAGTTCCTCGGAGGAGAAGAAGAACAATACTGGTCGGATTCAAAAAGCGAGTAATAGTAAGAACTAAGAAGAATTGTCTCTCGAATTTGGGAGGTGTAAATGCGTGCGTGTGCTCAAATGGGAATTCAGTAGATTTCGATCTCGATTAAGAGAAGCTCTGATCCGAATATCTCTGTTTTTTCACAGCGAGGAAGAAGTCGAAAATCAGCTGAATTCTTCTGTGAATCTAAACACAGATCTGATCGAGATTCAGAAGCAAGAAGAGTTAGTGCAGAGGAAGTTTCTTGAAGTGTTTTGGATATCCAGTAAATATCGAGAAGAAGAGGATTATTGTTCAGAATAAACTCAGTGTGCTTCCATGGGAATCAAGAACAGAGGAGGAAGACCACAAAGAAGAGTGAAGTGAGTGATTCAAGCTCGGATCTTTTCGAGATAGAGAATCTCACAGGGAAACTAAAACCTTGTCTTACAAGGCAAGGGAGTGATGCGGCTTCACCAACACGTTATGCTCCAAGTGAAGTAAGCATAGAGTGGAGCATAGTGACAGCAAGTGCAGCAGATTTCTCTGTTATGTCTGAATGTGCAACAAGTCCAGTTTACAAGCAACGCTTAAAACATACAAATTCATCAACAAATGTAACATCTCAATGATCTTACAAGCAACGCTTAAAGACTCTTAGATATATAAGTTTCTCTTGCACCATAAAATAAAGCATACTCAAAGAGTGACATTGATTAAGAGTCAATATATAACATCTGATCTGAAATGCAGCAAAATAATTAGACAATCATCAAAATTTGGTTCCACCACGTATTGTTGTTTTGTTTTGTTTTGTTGGATTGAGTCTCAATAATATAAGAGATACAAGAATAAAACATATAAGGGTTTGTCACAAAGAAGTATTAATGAGGAAACTTAAAATCAATGAAAATTTCATTCTACCTAACGTATCTAAGATCTTGGTCTTGATCAGGGCCATGCATGTGTGTCTAAGGTAAAAGCAAAGTACAGTAGTCACAAACCTTAACTCTTTCATTTTCAATATGCTTATACTAAGACAATAAGTGCAAAGAAAATGTATGACACTCATAATGGGAAAGGACTGGTTTTAAGTTTTAACCAGAGTGATTTTATTCACTCCGTTCCTTGAGTTAATTCAAAAAGGGCTAATTAGAAATTAAAGAAAATACATAGGATAAAACCAAGATGATGTTCCCAGACATCAAAGCTAATAAGGTATGGCTTTGATTAAAGCCAAGAAGAATCTATACAGATCTCGAAGAAGATAAGTATTGTATCCTTCTCAAAAGACATAATGGAGCCATCACTAATTTTCCTATAAAATATTGAATTGTATCATAGAATCAAATCATGATCAGCAAAAGGAAGAAGAAATTTGTGTAAGGCTAGTAGATACGGAGAATCTGATGATCCCATATTGACAAAGAATGGCTGAGAGAAGTTCTAACTTCTAACTTACTTCCATAGAGCTTGTGGTGAAACATTCACTTTATGCTACAAAAGAAGGAGAAGGAGAAGAGATTCTTGTGTGGAGCTTTGCTAGTTTTAATGAGGTTAACAGTAAGATTAGTACATTAGATAAAAAAAAGTTGGATTTTATAATTTGGCCCGTGCAGTAGTGGAGCTATGGTGTTGTAAACTATTTGTGGTCTATTTGAGTTCCTACTGGTGCAAATGTTATGTGTATGTTTCTGCTAATTTTCATGCCACATATGAACAATCAATCAAATTTTAAAATGCAGCAAACAAATATTAGTATTGAAATTTGGAATAGAAAGAAAATGACGACGTACCTGAGACCAGAGCTTGTAGAATTATGTAGAAGCTTGAATATTAGTCAACCATAAACAAAAATGTGGTTAGAACACAATGAGACAAGCGGAGATTGCTTATATGAAGATAGGAATAATGAAGCTTATACCATTGTTGGTAATAGACGCAAAAAGCAAAATTACAACATAAAATAAATAAGCAACTAATCTAGTTAGAGATGAATTACATACCTGAGATCATCACTAAAACGCCAGATTCTTCTGGTATTATGTAGAAACTCGAATACTCTATACATCATGCTGTCTTGGACTAGCAAAGATATAGTGTGCTTAAGCAATCATCGGATATGTTTAGACAAGCCTTAATACATTTCTTCCCCCTGCTAATATTATAGCAGAATATATGAATATAATTCCATAGATATAGAGTTTTTCCAATCTTAGTATATATTTCGACATACCTTTTTAAAGGTCTATGCAGAAGAATATTGAGTATAAACCATCTCTTGTCCCAACTCAACAAGTTAGAATTTGTGCAGAAGCTTGATTTTTCCAATTTTGGTTTGAATTTAAGCAAATGATGATATTAAACAACAGATGATTGAAGTTTGAATTTCCTAATTTTGGCACTTTTCAACTTCTGGGACACTATTTAAAGGCCATACATATTCCCATCAATATGCAAAAAATTATACACCATGTACAATAAGATGTACCGTGTAAGCAGAAACTTGATATTTCAGAAATTTTTGGACATAAACTTCATGTTCAGTCTCTTCCCATCAATCAATAAGCAGAACATTGAATGGTTTATCGCACTCTCCCAGCCCAGAAAGACCTGTATATTATTTATGCAGAAACTTGAATTTCAGATGTTTATGCTATCTTGGACTAGCAAATATATAGTGTGTTTAAAAACTCGAATACTCTATACGTCATGCTATCTTGGACTAGCAAAGATATAGTGTGTTTAAACAATCATGGATATGTTTAGACAAGCCTTAATACATTCCTTCCCCCAATTAATATTTTAGCAGAATATATGAATATAACTCCATACTTGAGTTTTCCAATCTTAGTATATACTTCGACAAGCCTTTTAAAAGGTCTATAGCAGAAGAGTATTGAGTATTATACACCGTCACATTCACAGATACAATAAGTTGTACCCGTTTAAGCAGAAACTTGAAATTTTAGAAATCTTGGGACATAAACTTCATGTTGTGTCTCTTCCCATCAATAAGCAGAATATTGAATGGTTTATCACACTCTCCCAGCCCAGAAACTTGAATTTCAGATATTTATGCAGAAACTTGAATTTCAGATATTTTGGGACATGGAAATGCAGAATATCAAATTCCATATCATGCTGTCCAGCTTTAGCCAGATATGAAGTTAAGCAGAGGATCAAATGGTTTATCATCAGTTACACAAACATCATTACACTGTTTCCCTATTAAGCTTACAACCGAACCGAGACACTTGTATAGCGTTCGTTTACTGTATAATGTATGCGACTAGTATCATGCACCACCAGCCTCTCATTCAAAGAGGACAGTTCTCAATCAATATTGCGCAGATCATTAATATTTAAATCATCTCTTTGAGCAGAAAAATGAATTTCCAATCTCCCAAGCCTCTTCAGCCTCTTATTAAAAGGGCTTTGATTATGCAGAATATTGAAGTCTATAATATCAAACTGTCCCAGTTTAGCAACAGATATAGAATCAAGCAGATAGTTGATTTTTATATAAGTCACAGATACATCATTACACTGTTTCTTAACCGAGCGGAGGCATTTGTATAGCTTTTCCCATTAGCTTATAACCAAAGTTGATGCATTCGTTTTATCGATCTGGGACTTAGTATCATGCATCAGAAGCCACTCTTTTCCCATTTCTTAGCTTACAATTAAAGTCGATGCATTAGTTTAAGGACCTAGGGACTTAGTATCATGTACCACCACTAACTATTTTCCCATTTATTGCTTGTATACATAACTCGGGACTAGTTTCATGGACCACCAGCAGAGGACATTTCTCCATCAAAATTGCATAGATCATTGATATTTATCATCTCTTTAAGCAGATAAATGAATTTACAATCTCAAGCCAACAAGCAAAGTATATTTACGCAGACAAATGACTTTGATTCCCTCATCAATATGCAGAACATTGAAATCTATGATATCAGGCTGTCTCAGTTCAGTAACAGATATAGAATTAAGCAGAGAGTTTGTGGTGTAACACATTCACTGTCTTGATGTGAAAGGCGTTCACAGGAGGAGAAGAAGCCTTGTGTGGCGAAAACATTCACTGTTTTAATTCCCGTCGCCTTCAGAAAACCACAAACATATACATAGATTCAGGAACTGATCATGTTTATATAAACTACAATCTGATATTTCAGAACAAAATGGTTTCTGGTTACTGAGATCTTAAATATGCCAACTTGAAAATCAAATCTCTTTATATGCAAATAGTAAATACAATAGAACATGAGAATCTCAATATGCTTTACAAGCAACGATTTAAGACATCATAATCTTGAAACCGAAATCTTTTTAATTCAGCACAAGACACGTGGCAATTTGATAGTGGTTTTTATCACCTAAATAAGAATTAAGCTTTGCTGATTTTAATCAAGATTTGAATGAAATTGATGGATTAAAATACAATTTAGGTTTAATGATTGGTGGGTTAAGCCAAGCCCGTGCAGTAGTGCAACGCATGGGCGACTCACAAAAGCCCAGATAGCAAGCTATCTTAATGGACTTTCTCCCTCAAAGAATAAAGTTAATATCGTGTGAACCGATGGCCCACATATCAGATATTAAACTGATAAGAACAGATATTACACTTGATCTTAGCCAAAAGGCCGAAAAAGGTATGATTTGTTTAGTGCATCGACCTTTGCTTTTATACACCACGTTTGAGAGTAAACGATTCAAAGCTTAGCGATGTGGGATTAATAAGTAATAACTAATAACCAAACCTTTTCTTTACCCCGGACAAACTGAAGACATTAATTAATTTAATTTAATTTTCTCTAACAGCGACCTTTCTCCATTCCGAATTATAAAAGCCGTTATATATGAACATTTCTTCATCTCACAAGAGGTGAATAAAGGAGATTGGTATGTTTGGAGCTGAAAAGTACTTCAATATAAACATGGATCAGACCAGAGTTCTAGTGTTCTGTCTCTAACAAACCCAGAAATTGCGAGATTGGTTGTTAATTGGAAGCAGAAAGCAAGGAAACCTACTGTAACTGCGAGTTTCCGCTCTGAATCAAGCTGGAATAGTAAGATGCTTCAGAAAAAATACTGGTGATTAGCTGCAACAGTTCGTCGGAGGAGAAGAAGAACAATACTGGTCATATTCAAAAAGCGAGTAATAGTAATTAGAAGAGTTGTCTCTCGAATTAGAAGATTTAGAAGCAAGAAGAGATAGTGCAGGGGAAGTCTCTTGAAGTGTTTTGGATATCCAGTAAATATCGAGAAGAAGGGGATTATTGTTCAGAAGAAACTCATTGTGCTTCCATGGGAATCAAGAACAGAGGAGGAAGACCACAAAGAAGAGTGAAGTGAGTGATTCAAGCTCGGATCTTTTCGAGATAGAGAATCTCACAGGGAAACCAAAACCTTGTCTTACAAGGCAAGGGAGTGATGCGGCTTCACCAACACGTCATGCTCCAAGTGAAGTAAGCATAGAGTGGAGCATAGTGACAGCAAGTTCAGCAGATTTCTCAGTTATGTCTGAATGTGCAACAAGTCCAGTTTACAAGCAACGCTTAAAACATACAAATTCATCAACAAATGTAACATCTCAATGATCTTACAAGCAACGCTTAAAAACTCTTAGATATATAAGTTTCTCTTGCACCATAAAAATAAAGCATACTCAAAGAGTGACATTGATTAAGAGTCAATATATAACATCTGATCTGAAATGCAGCAAAATATCATCAAAATCTGGCTCCACCGCGTATTGTTGTTTTGTGGATTGAGTCTCAAAAATATAAGACATAAAAGAATAAAACATGGAAGAGTTTGTCAAGAACAAGTATTAATGAGGAAACTTAAAATCAATGAAAATTTCATTCTACCTAACGTATCTAAGATCTTGGTCCTGATCAAGGCCATGCATGTGTGTCTAAGGTAAAAGCAAAGTAGACAAAAACCTTAACTCTTTCATTGAAAATATGAAGTGATGCGAGAGAAGAAGAAAAAAAACAAAGTGCAAAGAAAATGTATGTCACTCATGACTCATAATGGGAAAGGACTGGTTTTAACCAGAGTGGTCTTATTCACTCCGTTGAACCATTCCTTGAGTTAATTCAAAAAGGGCTAATTAGAAATTAAAGAAAATACATGGATCAAAACCAAAGATGATGTTCCCAGACATCAAAGCTAATAAGGTATGGCTTTGATTAAAGCCAAGAAGAATCTATACAGATCTCGAAGAAGATAAGTATTGTATACTTCTCAAAAGACATAATGGAGCCATCACTTATTTTCCTATAAAATATTGAATTAATTCATAGAATTAAATCATGATCAGCAACAGGAAGAACAAAATTGTGTAAGGCAAGTAGATACGGAGAATTTGATGATCCCATATTGACAAAGAATGGCTGAGAGAATTTCTAACTTCTAACTTACTTCCATAGAGCTTGTGGTGAAACATTCACTTTATGCTACAAAAGAAGGAGAAGGAGAAGAGATTCTTGTGTGGAGCTTTGCTAGTTTTAATGAGGTTAACAGTTAGTAAGATTAGTAAATTAGATAAAAAAAAGTTGGATTTTATAATTTGTCCCGTGCAGTAGTGGAGCTATGGTGTTGTAAACTATTTGTGGTCTATTTGAGTTCCTACTGGTGCAAATGTTATGTGTATGTTTTGCTAATTTTCATGCCACAAGTAAACTATAGGATGTTGAACAATCAAGCAAATTTTAAAACCCAGCAAACAAATATTAGAATTGAAATTCGGAATAGAAAGAGAATGACATACCTGAAAGACCAGAGCTTGTCGAATTATGTAGAAGCTTGAATATTAGTCTATACCATAAACAAAAAATGTGGTTAGAACACAATGAGACAAGCGGATATTGCTTATATGTAAATAGGAATAATGAAGCCTATAACATTGTTGGTAATAGACACAAAAGCAAAATTACAAGATAAAATTAATTGCAACTAATCTAGTTAGAGATGAATTACATACCTGAGATCATCGCTAAGACGCCAGATTCTTCTTGTATTATGTAGAAGCATGAATACTCTATACGTCATGCTGTCTTGGACTAGCAAAGATATAGTGTGTTTAAGCAATCATCGGATATGTTTAGACAAGCCTTAATACATTTCTTTCCCATCTATTATATTAAAAGAGAATCCACTTTAGAAAAATAACATTTACTTAATGTGTTATTTACTTAATATGTCATTGGACTTTCATTAGATTTATACAATTTATTAAATCTATTATATTCATTGAATTATTAAAGGCCTAATTTTTTGTTACTCTTCTTATTAGATGCTCAATATTTTGTTATCCTTCTTATAAAAGGTCCATCTTTATTTAAAATTTAGAACTATCTATTTTTTTTGTCTTTCATTAGAAATTTATTAAAAAAATTTATAGAAAACGCCAAAAATAATACTATTAAGGTCTAAATTTTATTTTTTCCAAGGGACATAAAATATGGTAGGTCGGGTTATATGTCAATATTCTTTATATTTTTTATTTTTGCGATTGGACTTCCTAAATAACTGATCATATACCCAAAAAATCAAGTTTATATACCATGATCAATTTCTTCCCATTACAATATAAAGCTTATATTGGTTCCTCTTATATATATTATTATTAAATGTAATATTTTATCACCATAATATATATATTCAATTATTTATATTATATTAATTATTTTTTAATAGCATAATATTAATTATTTAGTATAAGAAATTTCCATTTTTATTTTGTTTTGCAAAAATTTGAAAAAAAAACAATTAAAGAAGAAGAAAATATGAAAAAGGAAAATAAAATAGGAAAAATACATAAAACACGAAGAAGAAAACAAACAAAAATAAAAAACTGAAGAAAAATTACAGAAAAATAACGAAAAAGAAAAATGAGAAAAAAATGAAGAATAAAGAAAAATGTGGAAAAATAAGAGAAACGAAGAAAAAAACAGAGAAGAAAATTAATAAAAATAAAAAAAGAGGAAGAAATGAGAAGAATAGCATAAAAAAGAACTTCAAATAAAAATAGAGAAGAAGAAAAATACAGAAAAGAAGTACGAAGAAGAAAAACAGAGAAAAAAAACTATAGAAGAAAAAACAGAAGAACGAGAAGTAAAACAGACAAAATATAGAGAATAAGAAGAAGAACAGAGAAAAAAAAAAGAGAAGAGGGAAAAATGGAAGAGAAGAAGAACAGAGAAAAAGAAGATGAATTTTTAAAAATTCGGGAATAGAGAAAAAGAACAAAAACAAAAAAAAATTATGTATAGTTATAATATATGTGAATTAATAATAAATAACTTATAATTTTTTATTTTAAATTTTATATTTTTGTACTTACAGAATTTAAATTCACTTTTTATAATATATAGAAAAATCTAACCATGAAAATAACACATTTATATCTTATTTTTCATATCATATTTTATAAATTATAAATTTTAATCTTTTTTAAACATTGTTAGAATTTAAGTTAATACTTAAATCACGATTCGAATCTTATACAGTCATGTCATTTTTCAATTTGGGCTCACTAACATATTTAAACTTAAGCCCACAAACTTTAATAATATGCACTTTATTTTTCGCTTATACTATATGTTCACTTTGCCACACGGATCAAAAAAAGACACTGATAAGTATCAAGTTGACGGAATCTAAACAGATGCGAACGTATGCAAAAACATGAGAGAATCCTCTAGATGGGTTTATGTGTCCGAGTGGATGGAATATTCATTGTCAAATGTTATTAGAGCTTGCAAGAAAGCGAGAATCATCAAAAACGCACACAAACCAAAATTACAAAGCATTTGTTAGGTAGATGACGAAAATGCCCAACCAAACGTTGATACAGGAACGAACCACGGACTTAAAAAAAAAACTGATCAGTTATTTATAAAAGCTGGAAAAAAAATGAACTAATAGACAGACATACATAAGTTGTTTCTTTGAGTTTCACGAAACAAAAAACGTTTGTGAGAGTGAGAGTTTGATAATGAAGAAAGAACCAGGTAACTCATCACTGGTCTCTCTCTCTCTCCGCTTTCTTTTTGACTGGTTAATTTGCAGTAAGTTTTAGAATACTTAAAACTTTTTACTGTGCATTATTTTCTGGTGAATGTAACAACCAGTGGGATCATTGGAATATTATCTTTCCAGAAACATTGTCAAAAGACCTGAGATTTGGTGAAATTCTTTAAAGAAATGGAAAGTAAACCGCAATAGGAAAGTATATTCCATATTTTTGTAAAGACACACACACAAAAATTAATAGCATGGTCTAAATTGAATAGAAAGTGTTATTATATTAGTGATGCTTAATAATGTTGTTTTACATCGTATCATGATTGACAAACGCATAACCCATTTTTGCAGTCTTAGTTCAACATCCTTTTAACAAAAGCACAGTAGGGAAGACAAGTTATTAAACGTTTGCAGTGTTTACTAAATATGGCATCAGTGTGGTACGTGCTAATTGCACTTTTGTAATCAAACATCTCGCTGATTGCACTTTTGTAATTATACCTGCAAAATACTTTTAAGAACAATTAAGTATCCAAAAAAACATACATAAAGAAAATCTAAATTATATTCAAAATAGAAGTTGAGAAGAACTACAACCACTGAAATCACTACAATAAACTTCTTGGCTCTCATTTTTTTTTCAAGTTAATCAGTGTTTATCTTACTTTTATGCACGCCTCTTTATCTATATATATAGAGAGAGTGACGTAGTTCATGTATCATATGTATAAACATCAATTATCTGATTGGTTAGAGAATATTCTGAATATTGTAAACAAAAAATATTTATTATAATTGATATTCTGACTTAACTATTAATCATGTCATATATCTTTCTTCAATGGTAAATTTGACTTTGATTCGTAAGTTGTGAAAATTTGATTGGCCAGTGACAACGAACCTTTTTTTTTAGCAACTTTTTTTTTGAGTTTCTACTACACAGCTCTGGGTGTGCATGATTTATAGAAGTTTAACCCACATGGAAAATCATCATGGCTTAAGGAAGATGATGGGAAAAAGGAATTGTCTAACGACTATAATACAAACTGAATCAGATGCGAGAACCCGAACGTGGCAGATCCATCATCACAGTAAGTTTCATCTCATTTGGTACTTATGATGAGTATATATGTTTGGAAAATCGTGGTTGAAGTTCTATGTTTAGGTTTATTGGATTTGAAGATCTCAAGCGATTCCTTCTGAACTACGAGGTTTTGAAAATTTTGAAACTCTTGCAGAACATATGGGGATGATTTCAAACAATATAGAACCCTTATTTTGTCGCTGAGAGATATGGACACAGCATCCAACAAAATAGGAATCATTTTCAGCGTTGTTTTTGGGATTGTGCTTGTTGCTCTTTTGATTCCACTAATAGGATGGGGTAGAGTCACATTTCTGAGGACCTTAAGCGTTAGTAGCTTTGCCATCACTTACTGTGCTGTACATGTTTTTAAGGAGACATATTTCTCCGTGCAACTCTTGTACATCAGGTATCCTTTTGATGTTGGCGACGAGGTTGAAATCGACGAAGTTGAAGTAAGGAAACAATCTTTATTTTATATTATCCTAATTACCAAGCATGAGATTGTTTTTTTTCTTCTTTGTAGATGTTTGTGGAAAAACTGATAGTGGATGAGACATATTTCATTAAAAAAAGAAACAAAAAGAAGTTTTCAATGACCAACTATAAAATAAATGAGCAGTTGATGATCAACAATAGCCAAAGTGAACTCTCAGCTTGGAGTATGGACAACATTTTTTGAGTAAGAAGGAGGGAGAACTTGGTTTGTGACTCCATGACTCCAATGTGTATTTTAATTTTGCTTTGATCATTACAGTCGAACCATTTATGAACTTGGTTTGTGACTCCAATATGTATCGTTGCAATCCCATTTATATGATGAGGCTTTAAAGATTTTAAACTCTTCCAAAAAAGCATATGAGAATAATGACATCTGAATAAGTTTGTTATTCTTATAGGAATAGATTTACAGATTTATGATATCTTTCAACTTTCCAATTGAAAATCAGACCAACTCAATAACTTGTTAAAACGAATTAAACCCTTAAGTAGTTAATTATACATATAATATATTTGCTTAGTATTTACAATTTTTTTGCTTGTTATTTGTAATATTTTTGTTTACTATTTACATTTTTTTTACTTGTTATTTATGATATTTTTGCTTATTATTTATGATATTTTTGCTTATTATTTATAATATTTTTATTTTTGATCTAGTACTCTGATATAGAAATACTGCTTGACTGTAACATGGGAACATGCCTGTATTATTACTTTGGTTCTTCCGAAACTTGATTTTTAAGTTCCTTAAACTGTATAGAACTTCCATGTCATAAGTTCAGTAATATGCAATTTAAAAGTACCAAAAGAAGAGCTTCTAAGTATTAATATATATATTAAAAGGAAGCAAAGTAATAATCAAGTTCTATATCGTCGAAAAAGTAACATAAATTAAAGAGGAAGAAAAATGAAAAAAGTAACATAAATATAATGATAGATTTGAGTCATTTGACATTGTGCTTGATGAATGGAAGATACAAAAATAAATAACATTATAGTAGTAAGTTTATCGGTCACTGTAAAAGCTAACATAAATCTGATATAACTTTTCTTACCTACTTAATTTAGTTTGAAAGTTAATGATCAATGAGTTCATATGCAAAAAATCGATTTTGAGTTTCCAAGAAAAAGATCGCTAGCTAAAAATCTGTCAAAATTGGAATGACGAAGAAGATCGCTAGCTAAAAAAAATCTGTTGAAAGGAACCGTTCGTTTATTACACAAAGAGAGATTAATGCCGACCCATGAGGTACACGATTTCAGATTTTTATACTTGAGCAACTGATCCCAATTAGATGGTTTTGATGAAAAACAATTAGTAGTTGATGAAGAAGAGAAGAGATTCTCTATTGTTTACAGCTTTTTTAATGGTTTTTGATAGACTTTGGTGAAAAAAATTCTTATAAGGCAAGGTGATTTGGGGAAGCTTTTTGTGAAAGCGAGAGTTGTTTCTGTTCATCCTAATAGGTTTCAGGCTCTTGTGTGGAGCCGTAATTAGCGTGATCGTATATCTTTTGCACATTTGGTTTCGGTCATTTGGATGGTTTCTCTATCTTGTGCATAAGATACATATAATATATAGTTAAAAATAGTCTGATGATGGCATGACTAGTCGTAGTTGTATGAGAGATTATGTTAGGAGTATGAATTATATAGTTCGTATAAAATCAACCATTTTGTATTTTTAATGTATAAAAAACACGAAAGTTCCATAATTATGAAATTGTATCAACAAAATTTGGACGGTCACGTGACCGTTAGACTGGATTGTTTCATGAGCCGAAATTCACAGAGACGTCTTATTTGTGTAGCATTCAAATTAAATGGTCCACCAAAATCTCATAATTTTTTTTTAGTTTCTTTTAGTTAAATCAATAGATTGAGTTTTGACCCCAAAAAATCAATAAATTGACATGTAGTATAAAATTTACTTGGATTCGTTGACCAAACAAATAAAATTAGATACTTGTCCTGATATCAAAATCAAATGTATTTTTAGTTGGACGGTGCAAATTATCTTTGAAATATTAATTTTTTTTAATTACCTTATCATATAATAATTTTTAAAAGACAAATAGATGGCAAAACAGTACGGTGTTAGAGTGCAGAGCTTATGAACTATTTTGGGAATTTATTAGAGTCTGAAGATAGACGTAAATATAAAAGTATATAACTGTTTGTGATTTTTTTCTTTTGTTTATACATGGCCTTCAAAATTGATATCACTATATATATAAGCTGACAATTAAACTGAATCATAACATCGTTCATAAATTCATTAACCATTCACCAAAAAAGTACCGTTCATATTTTTTGTTTGCTTTGAAATAAAAAAATTCATACAATTTTAAAAATATGAAATTTTTTTTATACATTTAACCAAATATTTTAGGACTGAAAAGTCTCTGGAATATGTAAAAATATTGTGTATTTTTTTTGCAATTTAAAGTGATCATATTGATCGACGACAACCATACATTCATAGTGATCAAAAAATTGATCTTCAACTTATGATGAATCCTTTAACCAGTAATTTAATAGATTATTATTCTCTTGTTAATTTGTTTTTTCTACATTTACTTATTTAGTAAAGATTTTGAATATTTTCTAAGCGGGTAATTTTGATGGACGGTGCCAATTATAAAGGAGCTTTATAGGCCGTTTTCTCATCGTTCCCATTATGCATGTTACACTTAATTTCTCCTAACATTTACATTTTTTGATATTTCAAAAGTAACCATTTTAAAACCCATCAAAATAGCTTTTGTTGTTGTTGTTGTAACGATTAACGTTAACGGATTTAGATCTTGACTCGCGACAAAATTTACAGCCTACGTTGAAAGTTGGACCAATTCAATAATTTGTCAAAACGAGTCTCACGAAATCAAACTTTTTAGTAGCTAATTATACATTTAAAAATTAGTTGAATATCTATTTGGCTTTGTTTATTCTGGAGTATAATAGTTAGTTTGACGTGTTGTTGTTCCTGAAGCTGGAAAAGAATTAAAAGTACAAATTCCGACGTGTATACCAACATTCAAAAGATAGAAAATGTTGGCAAATTTCATTATGATTCCCGAACCACTTCATAATTCACGTGGATTCCGGACCACTGGTCCACTGCACAATTCACATAGACTCGTGTAAATGATTAAAATTTGTATATGGGAATTAATCGGTATCTGTTGTGTCCATAATTCTTTTTGCCACACCCAATCTAAGAAGCGAAATTAAAAACCCTCGAACCGAAGCAAACACAGATCCAGAAGAGAGGGCTCTTACAAATTAAAAAAAAAAAAAGGCTGAAGTAAACCGAAACCCTAATCTGAAATAACATTAGGAAAATTTTATTCGAAATTTGTTTTTAAAAATTCTAAGACGCAAGAACACAACGGCTTAAAAGGACAATTGGATTAGCTTGATCAAAGCTCTGTGAAATACGATAAAAAACGAAAAAATTGCGAGCGAGAGAGAAGAAGAAAACAACCGTTGTGCCTTGTGCGAACCATTCGCTGAAGATTTTGGGTATTTTAGTAACCGTCATAAGAACTACAGCTGGGCAAAAGGATATTTAGTGACCGTTGTTTTATTATGAAATAAAATAACAATTTCCTTTTAAAAAAAAAAAATCAAAATATCCTCCGATAGGACGTCACTTAATAGCATCAGAATAATTAAAGTAAAAACCAGCAAAACCATAATTTACCTCGCTGTTTTTTTAGGGCTCGGCCCAGCAAAACAATAATCTTCCTCGCTGTTTTTGTAGGGCTCGGCCCATTGGAACAAAAGACTCCGTATACATTATATTTGTATAATGTGTGTTTTAGCGTCTTAGAAGTTAACCTTGATGAGATAAACAATAATGATTTAATTATACCAATCTATTACATAAAATTTTAGATTTGATATTTGGTGGGTTAAGCCAGGCCCGTGCAGTAGTGCAACGCATGAGCGACTCACGAAAGCCCAGATAGCAAGCTATTTTGGTGGACTTTCACCCTTAAAAAATAGAGTTAATATCGTGTGGACCAATGGCCCACATATCAGATATTAAACTGATAAGAACAGATACTACACTTGATCTTAGCCAAAAGGCCGAGAAAGGTATGAATTGATTGGGCCATCCAGCTTTGCCTTTATACACCACCTTTGAGAGTGAACGATTCATAGTTAAGCGATGTGGGATAAATTAACCAAACCGCCTCCGACAAACTGAAAATATTAATTAATTTAATTTAATTTTCTTTCAACAATTGGACATTATTAATTAACTGTAATAAACAAGAACAAATACATCTTAAAGATCAACAAATACACTCTCTACAGCCATAAACGCCACCAAGTTTCAAGGTCTTTCTATGGTGGTGAGCTAAAGATCTTCGAATCGGGTAAGAGTTTTTACTTTTTCCATTCGAATCTGGTCTTTGCTCGGTTCTTGGTTCTCGAAAATTTCTTGAATTCGTGCGAGAGATTCTTCCAAATCTGCATCTTGGATTTTGTAAGAAATTTATGTTTCATTTTGTTCGGTTAGATTCTCAAAATTTAAAATGTCGTATTCTTGTTTGAGTAATCAAGAAGAAAGGGTGAAATCACCGGTTTTAGTCATGAATTTGTTATTTTTCTATATATTTTCTGTGCCTTAATTGGAATGATTTTGAATCCATCTCTAAGCTCAGACATGTAAATCAAGACTGGTCTGAATTTTCAGTGTTGGAGATAATGTTGCCGGAGAGAAGAAGTACGGTCGCTTCTTATCTGAATCCATCTGGTCAGAATGATCATTCATTTCTACTTCTTCGAAGAGGGAAAAAGCTTGGTCGGATAGTGAAACTGAAGCTCTCACACTTCATCTTCTTCTTCGTCTCACTCTTTTTCTTCTCTTGCATATTCTCTGGCCATAAACTACTCTTTCATGGTACGCTTCACAAAGTTTCAAAGAATTGTCCTTTTTTCTCAACTCTGGAGACTAATAAAACACTCTTAATTTGGATTCGGTGTAGGTTCTGAGTTCTTACCTCGTTCTGATCAAAATGGTAAGCAACTTTGTCTATATTTTTGGATTTGTGTAAAAGCTACTATTACAAAAGCTATTGTATTGACTGGATTTTGATCAAATGTAGCTTACATGAAAGATCATATGTTCACGTCATCGGAGCTTGATATAGGATTAAACAAATCCAGCATCGAAAGACCACCTGGAAGCAAGAAGAGAAACAAGCGTATGTAATTTTCTTGAATCTCTAGTAATTTTCATTGACTTGCTAGTTGTTGGTTTGTTTTATCTAAGCTGAAATTGTTTATGTATTTGCAGATTTACCTTGTGAAGTTGCACTTGCCGAATCTGCCAATCACATACTTGAGCCTCAGGAGTATTTAAACTTCAAGCGGTTTTCGTTAGGCTTTGTTGAGACAGAGACATACGATAAACCTAGATTTGGAGGGCATCAAACGCTCAAGGAAAGAGAGAGATCTTACTCTGCCACAAATCAAACAGTTCACTGTGGTTTTGTCAAAGGAGCGAATGGGTTTCATCAGGGTACTGGATTTGATTTGAGCGAAATGGATAGAGCCTACATGAAGAACTGTGTAGTCTCTGTGTCTTCTTGCATTTTTGGAAGCTCTGATTTTTTAAGGAGACCTGCAAGCAAAAAGGTTAAGACTTTATTCCTCTTCTAGATATGAAGCTAATGGTTACTAGGTTCCTACCTATTCATGTGGAGCTCTCGTTTTGCTTGTTTTGTTTCTTCAGATCAGTGAATTCTCAAAGCGGAATGTTTGTTTTGTGATGTTCGTTGATGAGCAAACACTATCGAAGCTGGCTAGTGAAGGACATGTTCCTGACAAGCAAGGGTTCGTTGGTCTGTGGAAAACTGTAGTAGTGAGCAATTTGCCTTACACCGACATGCGAAAGACTGGGAAAGTTCCAAAGTTTCTGTCACACCGCCTTTTTCCTTCTTCTAGGTGAGGTTAGTTTTACTAGTACTCAAGCCTTTGAAATGCTTGAATCAGTGACTCAATCTTCTTCTTTTTTTTACCTATCTTCATTTTCTTTTATTTCCAGGTATTCGATTTGGATAGACAGTAAGATGAGACTTACTACAGATCCTATGCTGATCATTGACTTCTTCCTATGGAGAACAAAGTCAGAGTTCGCTATCTCTAACCATTATGACCGGCATTGTCTTTGGGATGAGGTGTTACAGAACAAACGTCTGAACAAGTACAACCACACGGCCATCGATGAGCAGTTTATGTTCTACAGATCAGATGGACTCAAGAGATTTGACCCTTCAGATCCTAATTCTCCTCTTCCAAGCTGTAAGTGATCAAATCAATCATTCTCTTCTCTTTTCACCATACACATTTACTCGTTTATGCATTTTTTCCTGATGTTCTCGAGTAATGTGTGTCTTGTTGTTAGTTGTACCTGAAGGTTCTTTTATCGTAAGGGCTCATACACCAATGTCGAACCTCTTCTCATGCCTTTGGTTCAATGAAGTTGATCGGTTTACATCGCGAGATCAATTGAGTTTTGCATACACATACCTTAAACTTCAGAGACTCAATCCAGATAGACCACTACGCCTATACATGTTCAAGGTAACATGAGAGCTTGATCATCGGTTTTAAGTAATTAGATCAGTCGACGTTGAAGAGATTGATGATAAACTTGGTTTCATTTCAGGATTGTGAGCGTCGAGCATTAACTAAACTCTTCCATCATCGTGTAGATTCATCACCTCCTTCACCTCCTGCTTGATTGATCAAGTAAAGATACTTCTCTACAAATTTTGTGTTCATAAACTATTCAAAGTATCAATACTTTATCTACTTTTAACCTCACTTGTTAGAGACTTACTGACTTGTAAGGACTGAGCTTTAGAAATAACTATTAGTGACTTGCATCTCCTTTAGATTGAAAACAAAGAAGAAACATACAAAACCATTATAGTTGGCCATTGTGAGTTTTTTTTTTGTTTGCTGTTTTGAGATGATTAAACATGAATTGTTTCTTGTTTATTTTTGATCTTCTTATCTTATTTTAAAACCAGTCTCTTTTGGGATCACTCTGTTCCTCAAGTTTTGCTGTTTGAATAGATAATAATGATATCAGATCCAGTTCTTTTATGGAGTCAATAACCCAACAAAATTTTAATTTAGATGAACCGAAACATTTTTTCAATCAGAAAATCAGAAACATTTTTTCTTTACGAATCAGAAAATCAAAGTGGTTATTATCAAGTTCAATTTCAATTTTCTTTCGAAAATTCATAAAAACCAATTAGACATGAACAGGATGTTAGCTCTCTACATTTGTGTAGGCCAACTCTTATGTTTTGATTATAATTAAATTAATAACTCGGCAAGAGCCGACATCAAAGGGGATGTAGCTCAGATGGTAGAGCGCTCGCTTAGCATGCGAGAGGTACGGGGATCGATACCCCGCATCTCCAATTTTTTTGTGAAAACATTTTGAATAAAGTTACTCAATTTCTACTGTAGATTAAACTAGTATCAAATGGGGATGTAGCTCAGATGGTAGAGCGCTCGCTTAGCATGCGAGAGGTACGGGGATCGATACCCCGCATCTCCATTTCTCTTTTTATTACTTTCTGCATTTTTTATAACGGGTTTGTCGGGACCTGCTTCAAGCCTTACCATTTCTTTTTTCCAAGTACAGTATTGTGTTAACTTACTAATTTGGTTTGAGCAAAACTAAATTCCCAAAACCACTTGAACTACAGTATCTAACTTCTTTGGAACAACTCTTCAAACTACAGATAACCGAGGGATCATACATATATTAAAATAAATAATCATAGGCTCTGGGTTCACAACTTCAGATTCATATCTGCAAACTTAGGATACTATATGTTGTCTTTAAAGGTGTCAGAATCTGTAGATCCTTTCGAAAAAACTAACAACATTGTGAACACTAAATAGAACTACATTGTCATGAAACTCCTCAAAGTCTCACGAATCTCTGTTCGACCGGCGCTTGAAGGTGCTGAGACTGCCAGTATCTTCTTTAAAGGGCTGAGTCGACACATCCGACATAGCAGGGAGCCTAGAAACACTTCCTTTGCCTTTTCTTGCATTAGGACCAATCACTTCGATCATATATCTCCACCCATCAATCGGTCTCCTCCTGCTGAATATGTGCTGCTTTATAAAACTCGCTATCTGCGCATCAATTGAAGAACACAGTCAGTTCTAATAGTCTCCAGCTTTTATCATCAAAAGATAAAGCGTACCCCTAACATCGAAATTGAATCACGTTGCTGCAGAACGATGAACAGTGGTAGGAGAACACATTTGGTGACTTCTCTCTATAAGGACTTTTGGTGGTACCTGAAATTTGCAGAAAGCAATCCGGCGATCGAATTCTTGGAGAAGAATGTCTTCTTCTCTTTGTGACATTTCCCAGAGATTCCCATCTTGCTCCTTTGCCGTTGATTCCCAACCATCAGGCTTGTTCTTCAGCTCAGTTCCACTCGAGACTTCCAATTTGTCAAAATCATGGTCTACCGAGTCGAAAATCCTGATTGTTGTTATCAGAATCCACAAGAATCACACTCATCTTCAAACACAATCTTATATTAACATAACAAGTATCTGAAACACCAAGAAATCCTCATAGCAATCTCTCCAATGCACTCAATGAAAATGGTTGAGACTGTACACAAGCAAATCAGAATCTTGTTCACTGACTTAGCTAAAACCTAAATCAAAAGACCAAAGAGAGAAAAGCACAGATCTTCAGGATTACAACAATCTCAAATCACTAGGAATCCTCAAAGCTATTTCTACATTTTTATTCTCAAAACTATTTCATGGATTCGCTATAGATCACAGACATAGTAAGTGAAGTGAAGTTAACACAAGGCTGACTCTAGAAAAATCCTAATTGGAATTCGATATGAAGCATTAGGGCAAGAGAGAATCCTTACTCTGAGCAGCTATCGAGCAATCTATCGATATCATCAGCTCCACCAGATCCTGAATCTCCCATCTTAGCTTCCTCCAACTTCTCGATCTCCTTAACCCACAAAGACGCGTGAACTCTTTGCTTCTTCAATCTATAATCCTTCTTCATCGTCTCCAAGCTGTAAAGCGACTCCCCTTCGATCTCTTTCCTCTCTTTCTTCTCCTCTTTCCCGCTTTTCCCTCTCCTCTCGTTCCAGTGCTCGTTCATGTCCTCCACGAACGCCTTCGCCTCCACATCGATTTCCTCCGGCAACGAAACCGCCGCCGTCGGTTCCGTCGAAGGGAAGTTCACGTCCGACTCCCACGGTGCCCGGCTCTTGTCCGTGAGATCATCAGGCAGCCAAGCTGATTCCCAGGCGTCGTTCCATTTGTCTTCATCGTTTCGCGATTTCGTGGACATGAAATCGACGAGGATCGAGGGGAAATTCAAACGGGTTTGCGAAACCCTCGAAGAAATTGGGTATGTAATCGTTGTTCTGTTGATCAATCCTACTACACGATGAAGAGAATTCATCTCCTACAGTAGAAAAAAAAAAAAAAAAAAGAGTCGCGTACGAAAATGGAAGCTCTTGCTCTCTTCTATAGAGCGAAAATGGCTTTGATATGATGATGATATTCTGCTCTGCTGAGTAGAACAAGAATGCTTAAACCCTGTGAGATTTAGAGGGAATGGGCCTTCACTATATGGGCCATATCAAATAAATGGGCTTTGCTTCAAAATTACTTGTATCTCGATTACATTACCTGGACTATGTAAAACTCTATTTTCCGAACAAGAAAGTCTTCGCTGAATCTCAACCAAAACCAAGTGTGGATATGGTATTCTGCAAGACTGAGAAAAATCTTTTTTTTTTACAAGAAACGCACATTTTTCCTTAATAAAGTATGTTTCTGAACAATAATTAAATGATAAATAAATTTGAAAATAGGGCTGATACAAAAATAAGTATGAACTGCTCTAAGCAATAAGGTAATTACTTGACTTTGCTTCGCTTTGTTCCGACCGCGAACACTAGCTTGGGTTAAACATTTGTCTAAATCAAAATACAAAAATCTAAAAGCTAAAGGACCTAAACGAAGAGTCCAAAAACATTCTTAACAAAACTGTAACTTGCAAGCAAGAGATTGAGATATCTTAAAGGACACATCCATAAAGACATAACATTTGCCCCTCCTTACCCCAACAAAAAAACAAAAGTGACACTTTCTTTTGTCGTCATAAAAATGACAAACACTTAAAAACAACGTTGTAAAGTGAATCTAACGATTCCCCCTGTAAAAAAAAAAAAGATTCCCAAAGCAAAAACAGAAACAAAAAAGTAGAACTATGAACAAAGACCAAAAGATGGCTACAAACATAAGAACTTTCAAAAGCAGAGATTATTAGAAAATCAAATAGATTAAAACACTTACAACAGCGTTAACCAGATCTGGCAAACTCTAAAAAAAAAAAGCTTCAACTTTTAACGAACTTATTATAACCTGTTTCAGTTTTTTTTCCCTTCTTTTTTTTGGGACTTTTGTCTGGTCTCTAACAATAAGATAATTGTATTCAAATTGAAAATTTTGTAAGAAAAACAAATAAGAAAGAAGATGAAGCAGCACAAAGGTTGGTGAGCTTGGAACCTTCAACGGATTGTGAGCTTAAAAAACCCATCAACAAGAATCTTGGAGGGTCTTCAAATGCAGAGAGTATCATCATAAAATGTGTGTTTCAGCAACCCATCACCGCACAGTTGTAAACGAAATTAGGAGAGTGTTTCCTATCGAGCAACGTCCATTGCGGCGGACCACCATCGCCCGGAATCCAAGAGTTCAGCTCTATGAACCCGCCTCCCGAGTGCCTCGGTCCACCGATAACGATTAACTGCTCGCCGCAAGCTCGAAACGCGAGTCCCCATCCGTTAACCGAGCCAACTCTCTCAGGCAATCTCCCAACAGTGAACCATTTCTTCTTCTCCTTATCGTACTTCCTCACCTCCATACCCGCGTGATCAGCAGCGTACAGTTGGTTATTCACAACCGCAACAAGAGGCGGCGCTTCAGCTGACGGCGACGTCTCGGCGTTAACAGCACGGCTTCTCGGAGGAGACAAGTCGGGGATCTGAGTCCATTTCTTGGTCTCAACATCGTACTCTTCGCCGCATGTCAAGACCTTGGAGTCAGCACCACCGATTCCTCCAATTACATAGAACTTCCCGTCCATGAAAACCCCTGAGCACATCTTCCTCGGTTTGTGCATCCTCGGGAGAGTGATCCAGCTCTGAAGCTCAGAGTTATACATCTCGGCGAAATCAAGAATCTTTCCCTTGGAATCACAACCGCCAGCGAATATAGCAATCTCTCCGAGACTCGCGGATCCGAACAAACACCTCGGAGAGTTCATACACATACCATAAGACCAAGAATTAGTCAGGAGGCTGTATCTGTATATTACATGAGAAGAAAAATCGTCTTTTCCTAAGACAAGCAGGTCCGTGCCAACGGCTAGAGACTCCTTGTCTGCACACATGAAGGTGACACCCGAAGGCATTGTTGGCAACTGCATCCACCTTCTCTCTACAGGATCGAAAGCAACCCACTCCAAGAGCTGGCACGAGAAGTAAACCCAATGCTCCACGAACCCGTTCTGTCTCCTTAACCTATAGATATCTCCACTCTTCACCAAAGAACGAAAATTTCGGTTCAAGGAAGCGATCGAACCGTAGTCAGACCTCGAGCAGCGGATCAGGCAGTCTATCGAGGTGTCTCGACCAATCTCGTTGAACAGAGAGTGAGAATCCGATGAACCGGAATCACCACCGTTGTTGTTAGAATCGGATTGTTCTTGCTCGAGGCTCGACGAGCCGTTGCCGTTTGCAGCATCTGCTTGCTCTTCCCCGCTCAATGAATAGTCAGACGAATCGCTATCGTAAGTAATCGAGAAACCCATTAGCTTGAGTGACTTGGTGGGCCTAATCTCGCCAGCATCATCCTCCAGGGGTCTCTTGCCATTGCTGAGCTTGTTGTTCCCAGGAGCAGCATCATCCTCTGGATACATGTAAGACTTTGACCAGCTTGATTCAGAGATGCGAGAGCTTGAGAAAACCCTTGAAATCAAACACGAATCTGGTGATCGATCTTCCAACATGTCTTCAGGAAGCTACGGTTGTTCTCGATGTTAGGAAATCAGATCAATCCCGAAGAAGAATCTCTCTCTCTCGATTCAGATTAACGAGATAAAGTCTTCGAATTTCGAATCTAAAACCATTCATAACCCAGATGAGAAACGGATTCAGATTGTAGATTCGAGCAATAACCTAATCAAATCAATCATCGAGAACAGATAAACCCCCACCACACACGAAAATCTGCCAGCTTTCGAGATCCAGATCTCCAGATTCCAACCCAATTTCAGACAAAAGGGCGAAAAAAAAATCAAACCCGGGAACTTAAAACAGCGAAATCTTCGATCCCGATCTGCTCATGATTCCTTCCGCTGTAGAAGAAGAAGAAGAAAAAAGGATTCTTTTAAGAAGAAAAAAAATAAGGGGTTTGGTTGATAATTAACAGATTATTATAATAATCACAAGGAGAATCGGAGATGGAAGAAAGAACTTACGAGATTGGATTAAAGAGAGAAAAATAATCAATTTAAAAGCTTAGAGGGAAATCTGAGCTGTTTCTGTTCTTCGCGTTTCTCTCTCTGTCGTCTCTTGGATTCGCTCTGCGAATCAGAGTGAAGCTTTGGTTTCTCAGAGGCTCAAAGTTAAAAATCTTCGAAGGAACCAATTCTATTTTCTCTCTCTTGTTTTTATTTTCCGGTTTATTTCTCTCTCTCTTGATTATTCCTCTTTTGTGAACTTTTTCTTAGTTGCAATATGCGAATTTAGTGCTGTCAAATAAAATTAAAACATAACTCAAAAATAAAATTGAAAGAAAACTGAATAATTTATAAAAACTTTAGAGATAACTACAATCAAATGAGAGAACCAATACACAAAAATTAGATCTTTTCCAAGAATTAGATCTAGAGACCTAAACGATTGGCCACCTTTAAATACATGTATTAATTTAATTTTATTTAGTAAGTAGAAAGGCTGAGTCGTCTAACTTTTATCTCTCTAGTGACGTCTCGGACCAATTTTCAAAAAATAATTGTTTTTTTTTTTCATTTATGTTACTTGTGAGGATTGGATAAATGCAAAAAAAAAATATCTGAGTGCCAAAAAAAAACCATTGAAATTTTAACTGGAATGTATTATGTATGTATGTGTTGTTCAGCGTGAGGAAATCAGGAAAAAGAAACAATCTACTTTTCAGCGTTGAATGCAGATGTTCAGAGTACTTCAGCTGTTAATTTTCAGTGGTCAAAAGGAATTAATTACTTGCAGAAAAAAAAAGTTGTTTACAAATCCCACGTCACTGAAATATTAATATTCTTTTCTTTTTTTTCCTCAATACCCTCTTTATTAGTAGTACTTTTTGATAACATCCTATATATTATGAAAGTACATTATACGGAGACAAATAAATAAATGATTACTGACGTATATGATTCACGAATGATACAAAGAAAATGTGAGTGATTATAACCAAAACAATTTTTTTTTAAAAACAAATTTATTCATTAAGAAGTTTTTAGTCTAAAACTCTGATATTTTTTGGTCCAAAATGGTAAAACCTTTCACCAAGATAAAAAAATAATATGAAATGGATACTCTATTAAAAAAAAATTGTGAAAATAACTTTTTTATGATTTTTTATAAAAAATCAATATTATTCTTTTAACTATTGTTATTTATTGACTAATAACAGACTAATAGCCGACTAAATGTAGATTACTAGTGAATTAAATGTAAAATATTAACAAATTGAATGCAGACTACTAACATGTTAATTAGTTAAATATATAAATGTAGACTACTAACAGATTAATGATAGAATAATTATAAATAACTGATAAAGTTTACTAGTAAACTCTTTTTATAAATTTTTTTAGAAAAATATCATATTTTATAATAAAATTATCAAATAAATTATTTCAAAAATTATTCCTAATAAAAAATACTGTATCAATGTTTTTGCAGTTTTTATCAACAATATAGTTATGTCAGATCGTTATTTATTTGATTTAATAATGTCGTTGTTTTTGCTGATCAAATGATCAAAGTGTGTTTAGCAATTAATCTAGTTTCGTTTAAAGGTTTTACTACTCTAGTTTGAATAGATTTATTTGATATTTTTTTTATTCTGGCGTAGTGTGTTGTTTTGAAATATGGTTGTCTATATAACTAGTTAAACGGTAAAAACTATATGGACGTTTCGATTTTGACTATCGAAAAACAATCATGTTTAACTATTACGCTGACTATATGTAAATATATAGTAATTGAAATTGATAATGCTTTGATGAATCAAAATTATCACTAATGTTTTATATGTTATCTACGGTATATCGTCAATAAAATCGTGCGGAGTATTTGTTATCTCGGAATACGAGAAAGCTGGGCGACGATCAATCTAGGGGCACGA